TCCAACCCCATTGGCATCCCATCCCACCCCAAACCCCATTAGCACCCCACTCCGTCCCCAACCCCATTGGCATCCCATCCCACCCCAAACCCCATTAGCACCCCACTCCATCCCCAATCCCATTGGCATCCCATCCCCACCCCAAACCCCATTAGCACCCCACTCCATCCCCAACCCCATTGGCATCCCATCCCACCCCAAACCCCATTAGCACCCCACTCCGTCCCCAACCCCATTGGCATCCCATCCCACCCCAAACCCCATTAGCACCCCACTCCATCCCCAATCCCATTGGCATCCCATCCCACCCCAAACCCCATTAGCACCCCACTCCATCCCCAACCCCATTGGCATCCCATCCCACCCCAAACCCCATTAGCACCCCACTCCATCCCCAACCCCATTGGCATCCCATCCCACCCCAAACCCCATTAGCACCCCACTCCATCCCCAACCCCATTGGCATCCCATCCCACCCCAAACCCCATTAGCACCCCACTCCATCCCCAACCCCATTGGCACCCTACCCCATCCCAAACCCCATTAGCACCCCACTCCATCCCCAACCCCATTGGCATCCCATCCCAAACCACATTAGCACCCCACTCCATCCCCAACCCCATTGGCATCCCATCCCACCCCAAACCCCATTAGCACCCCACTCCATCCCCAACCCCATTGGCATCCCATCCCACCCCAAACCCCATTAGCACCCCACTCCATCCCCAACCCCATTGCATCCCATCCCACCCCAAACCCCATTAGCACCCCACTCCATCCCCAACCCCATTGGCATCCCATCCCACCCCAAACCCCATTAGCACCCCACTCCATCCCCAACCCCATTGGCATCCCATCCCACCCCAAACCCCATTAGCACCCCACTCCATCCCCAACCCCACTGGCATCCCATCCCATCCCATCCCATCCCATCCCATCCCATCCCATCCCACCCCAAACCCCACCGCCACCCCAACCACCCCGCTCCCAGCCGCATCCGCACCCGACTGCCTGCGCCCCATGTGCCCCTGCGTGTGCTCCGGTGGCACCTCGCTGTGGTCCTGGCGCTGGAAGGGGCTCTGTGGGGACCGGGACACCCCCATCGGCGCTGGCACCCCGTGGGTGTCGCCGTGAGCCACGGCTCAGGGATGGGGACGATGGGGCTGTGGGGCTCACCCGACTGGCGCCGGCCCTGGCGCGGCTCGGCCACGGGCTCCTCCAGGGGCTGGCAGGACCAGCTCTTCTTGAGGCGCTCGGGGCTGCAGCGGGGCAGGCGAGGGGGGTCTGTGGGGACAGGGGGTGACAAAGGGGGGGACAGAGGAGGGCAGGGAGGGGAGCGCGGGGCGTGGGTGGCACTCACAGAACAGATCCATCTCCAGGATGGCTTCTTTAGCCTGGGGAGGAGGGAGATGGGGAGAGATGCATGGGGTGAGGATGGAGAGAGGGGGTGAGGTGGGGTGAGGATGGAGAGAGGGGGTGAGGTGGGGTGAGGAGGTGAGGATGGGGTGAGGATGGGGTGAAGATGGGGTGAGGATGGGGTGAGGATGGGGTGAGGATGGGGTGAGGATGGGGTGAGGATGGGGTGAGGATGGGGTGAAGACGGGGTGAGGATGGGGTGAAGATGGTGTGAAGATGGGTGAGGATGGGGTGAGGATGGGGAGAAGATGGGGTGAGGATGGGGTGAGGATGGGGTGAGGATGGGGTGAAGATGGGGAGAAGATGGGGTGAGGATGGGGTGAGGATGGGGTGAGGATGGGGTGAAGATGGGGTGAAGATGGGGTGAGGATGGGGTGAGGATGGGGTGAAGATGGGGTGAGGATGGGGAGAAGATGGGGAGAAGATGGGGTGAGGATGGGGTGAGGATGGGGTGAGGATGGGGTGAAGATGGGGAGAAGATGGGGTGAGGATGGGGTGAGGATGGGGTGAGGATGGGGTGAAGATGGGGTGAAGATGGGGTGAAGATGGGGGGAAGATGGGGTGAGGATGGGGTGAGGATGGGGTGAGGATGGGGTGAGGATGGGGAGAGGATGGGGTGAAGATGGGGTGAAGATGGGGTGAGGATGGGGTTGATGGGGTGAAGATGGGGTGAGGATGGGGAGAAGATGGGGTGAGGATGGGGTGAGGATGGGGTGAAGACGGGTGAGGATGGGGTGAAGATGGTGTGAAGATGGGGTGAGGATGGGGTGAGGATGGGGGTGAAGATGGGGTGAAGATGGGGTGAGGATGGGGAGAAGATGGGGTGAGGATGGGGTGAGGATGGGGTGAGGATGGGGTGAAGATGGGGAGAAGATGGGTGAACCCACCCCCACTGCCCCGTGGGCACCACAGCCTGGGGAGCGTCCCCTTCCCCTCACCTTCTGCGGATGATGGCGTGGTGGTTCTCCAGGATGAGCCGCTTGATGTGATGGGTCCACAGCCGCTTCTCCTCCACGCTCTTGGCCTGGGGAGGACGAGGAGGACGGATGGGGGGGGCACAGAGGGTGGGCATGGGGGTCCCCAGGGGTTCCCTGCCCCACGGCCGGCGCGCACCCACCTGCAGGCAGTGCTGCTGCTTGATGTGCTTGTAGTGCGCCAGGCTGAAGCAGAGCGAGTCCCGGGTGCTCTCGATCAGCATCAGTGAGGAGCACTGCGGGGGAGGCCCTCAGAGACCCAGCTCAGCACCCACCACACACCCCCATCCCCGTGCCCTCTGGGCTCCCCATCCCCCAGCACCCATCCTGGTCCCCACCACCCGATTAGACCCCAGCACCCCCAGCGTTCCCTAACTCCCCCTGGGACCCCAGCCCCAGCACCCATCCTGGTTCCCCAGCACACCTTGGGGTCCCCATTGCCAGCACCCACCGGTCACCCCCATCCCAGCACCCATCCCAATCCCCTATCCCCAGCACCCCTTAGGTTCTCCATCCCCAGCACCCATCCAATCCCCCATCCCCATCACCCCTTAGGTTCTCCATCCCCAGCACCCACCGGTCACCCCCATCCCACCACCCATCCCAATCCCCTATCCCCAGCACCCCTTAGGTTCTCCATCCCCAGCCCCCATCCAATCCCCCTTCCCCATCACCCCTAGGTTCTTCATCCCCAGCACCCACCAGCCCCCCATCCAAGCACCCACCAGTCCCCCCATCCCAGCATCCATCAGTCCTCCCCATCCCCAGCACCCATCAGTCCCCCCCATCCCAGCACCCATCCAATCCCCCATCCCCATCACCCCTAGGTTCTTCATCCCCAGCACCCACCAGCCCCCCATCCAAGCACCCACCAGTCCCCCCATCCCAGCATCCATCAGTCCTCCCCATCCCCAGCACCCACCCTGGTTCCCCCCCATCCCAGCACCCATCCCAATCCCCCATCCCCATCACCCCCTAGGTTTGCCATCCCCAGCCCCCACCAATCCCCCCCATCCCCGCCCCCATCCCAATCCCCCATCCCCATCCCCCCCTAGCTTCTCCATCCCCAACACCCCCCAGCCCCCCCCCCGGTCCCTCCCCGTTATCCCCCCCCCACTGCCCCACGGCTCCCCCCCCATGCCCCCTCGGGCGCTCACCGGGATGTGCTCTTGTAGCCGTAGTGGTCACCGCGGCGCTTGGTGATGAGCAGGGTCTTGTCGAAGAGGAACACGGCGCGCTCGTGGCGCGCGCGCTGCACCCGGAACGTGCCCTCCAGCACCAGCTCCCCCGTAACTGGTCAGGTCCGGCCCCTTCCAGCCCAGCAGCAGGGACTGGATCTCCTGCGGGGGTCCCATTGGCATCACCGGCGCCGCGGGGCCGCGCGCCCCGGTGCCGCCGGTCCCCACCTGCTGCCGGATGGCGTGCTCGTGCTTGCGCTTCATGTCGTTGATGTACCAGGCCACGCAGGTCATGGTGTCGATGGCCTCCAGCACCAGGTCGTAGTCGTCGCCGGATTTGTGCTCGAAGTGCTTGGCGATCTCCTGCCGGCACAGCACGCGGCGTTGGAGGCGTGCGTGGTGCCGGGGCGGGGGGCACCGCAGCAGCTGGCTCGGCCGTGCCGGGAGCCCATGCTCCTGCCACGTCCCTGTGCCATGCCAGGGCTATGGAGTGCGCTGGGTGCCCGGGGGGTGGCTGTGTCGTGCTGGGTGCTTGGGCCGGGCCGTGCATTCCATGCCATACATCCATGCCATGCCATGCACCCATGCCATACATCCAAGCCATGCCATGCACCCACACCACGCCAGCTCTCCATGCCATGCACCCATGCCATGCCATGCACCCACACCACGCCAGCTCTCCATACCATGCACCCATGCGTGCCATGCACCCACACCAAGCCAGCTCTACATACCATGCACCCATGCCATGCCATGCACCCACACCACGCCAGCTCTCCATGCCATGCACCCATGCATGCCATGCACCCACACCAAGCCAACTCTCCATACCATGCACCCATGCGTGCCATGCACCCACACCACGTCAGCTCTCCATACCATGCACCCATGCCATGCCATGCACCCACACCATGCCAGCTCTTCATGCCATGCACCCAAGCCATGCCATGCACCCACACCACACCAGCTCTCCATACCATGCACCCACACCACGCCAGCTCTTCATGCCATGCACCCATGCCATGCCATGCACCCATGCCACACTGTTGCCCAGGCCACGCTGTGTGCCCATGCCATGTCCCCGTGCCACACTGCTGCCCATGCAATGCCATGGCCCCATGCCATGTCCCTGTGCCACACTGCTGCCCATACCATGCTGTGTGCCCATGCCATATCCTCATGTCACACTGCAGCCCATGCCATGCCATGTCCCCATGCCATGTCACCGTGCCATGTAACCCATGCCACACTGATGCCCATGCCATGCTGTGTGCCTGTGCCATGCACCCATGCCATGTCCCCGTGCCACACTGCTGCCCACGCAACGCCATGTCCCTATGCTACAATGGTGCCAGTGCCACACTGCTGCCCATGCCATGCCATGTCCCCATGCCATGTCCCCATGCAATGCCATGTCCCGTACCACACTGCTGCCCATGCCATGCCATGCATCCATGCCATGTCCCCATGCCACACTGCTGCCCATGCCATGTCCCCATGCAATGCCATGTCCCCATGCAATGCCATGTCCCCATGCAATGCCATGTCCCCATGCAGTGCCATGTCCCCATGCAATGCCATGTCCCCCATGCAATGCCATGTCCCCATGCAGTGCCATGTCCCCATGCCATGTCCCCATGCAATGCCATGTCCCCATGCCATGTCCCCATGCAGTGCCATGTCCCCATGCAATGCCATGTCCCCATGCCATGTCCCCATGCAGTGCATGTCCCCATGCAGTGCCATGTCCCCATGCAATGCCATGTCCCCATGCAGTGCCATGTCCCCATGCCATGTCCCCATGCAATGCCATGTCCCCATGCCATGTCCCCATGCCATGTCCCCATGCAATGCCATGTCCCCATGCCATGTCCCCATGCAGTGCCATGTCCCCATGCAATGCCATGTCCCCATGCCATGTCCCCATGCAGTGCCATGTCCCCATGCAATGCCATGTCCCCATGCCATGTCCCTATGCAGTGCCATGTCCCCATGCAGTGCCATGTCCCCATGCAATGCCATGTCCCCATGCCATGTCCCTATGCAGTGCCATGTCCCCATGCAGTGCCATGTCCCCATGCCATGTCCCCATGCAATGCCATGTCCCCATGCCATGTCCCCATGCAATGCCATGTCCCCATGCAGTGCCATGTCCCCATGCAATGCCATGTCCCCCTGCAGTTGCCATGTCCCCATGCAGTGCCATGTCCCCATGCCATTCCCCATGCAGTGCCATGTCCCCATGCAGTGCCATGTCCCCATGCCATGTCCCCATGCAGTGCCATGTCCCATGCAGTGCCATGTCCCCATGCATGTCCCCATGCAGTGCCATGTCCCCATGCAATGCCATGTCCCCATGCCATGTCCCCATGCAGTGCCATGTCCCCATGCAAATGCCATGTCCCCATGCAGTGCCATGTCCCCATGCAGTGCCATGTCCCCATGCAGTGCCATGTCCCCATGCCATGCTGTGTGCCCGTGCCGCAGCGGTGCCGGCACCACCTCACCTGCAGCAGGAGGTGGTACTTGAGGATCCTCTGGACGGGCTTGAGCAGGAAGGCGCCGAGGGGCAGCGCGTGGCGCAGCCGCTCCTGGCACTCGCGCAGCAACCGCGCCTGCGCCTTGCTCCGCATGCACTCGGCCAGCGCCGCCACCGAGCTGCGGGCGAGGAAGCGGGCTCAGCCCCTGCCCGGCCCCTGCCCGCCCCAGCCCCGCACTCACCTGGGGTAGTTATTGCAGTACTGGGTGTAGATGGAGAACTCCTGGCTCTGCGGGCAACGGCAGCGCCGTGAGAGCTCGCCGCGGCCCCGGTGCCCCCCAGCCCTTCATGGTGCTCGGCACCGCGCATCCCAACAAACACCCCCCAAAACCTTACCCGGGTGACGAAGCAAACGGCCACGGCCACCGGGTCGCTGGCGCAGCTCTCCAGGTCCTGCAGCAGGGCGCTGGGGGCACAGCGGGCACGGGATGGGGTGGGATGAGGGGAGCTCGAAGCTCCTCCGGCGCCAACTCCGACCCCTTCCACCAGAGCAGCTTGCTCCAAGCCCCTGTGTCCAACCTGGCCTTGAGCACTGCCAGGGATGGGGCAGCCACAGCTTCTCTGGGCACCCTCACGGTGATGAATTCCTGCCTTACATCCAACCGGATCCCCCCTGCTCCAGTCTGAACCCATCACCCCTTGTCCCATCGCTCCCGTCCCTGATGCAGAGCCCGTCCCCAGCATCCCCATAGCCCCCTCCAGACACTGGGGGCTGCTCTGAGCTCCCCACGCACCTCCTCTTCCCCGATGCTCTCAGCCTAGCTAACAGCAGACCCCCCCCTCCTGTCCCATCCACACCATGGGGTGGCCCCATGTGTGTGCCCCCGTTCCCCCCCCACAACCAGCACCCACCTGCTGAGCTCGTAGATGTCCTCGATGTTCCCAAAGAGCGCGCTGACCTGCTCCGGCCGCAGCACCGCCTCCTCGGCGTCGATGATCTTCCCCAGGTAACCCTAATGGACAGCACAGTGGCACCACCGGTGCTACCAGCCAGCCCCCCCCCAACCCATAGCCCCATCCATGGGGTGCCCCCCCCCCGATGCCAGCACCCACCTCCACGATGCTGCGCAGGTCGCGGGCATAGGTCCGCTCCGACTCCACGATCTCCAGCACCACGCGGCCCAGGTAACTGGGCTCAGCACCAGGGCCACCAAACGGTGCCAGTCCCGGCCACGCCGCCGGCGCAGCGTTGTTGTTGCTGTTGTGCTCCCCCTCGGCCCACGGCTCGGCCCCGCTCCCGCTTGGATGCTCCATGGCGCAGCCGGGATGCGGCGCCGCGCTCAGGGCAGGGCAGGCGGGCACCGGCATTCCGGCATCCCCCGGCACCGGTGGGGGTCTGGGGGGGGAGAGCGGAGTGGTTATGGGGTGCGGAGACACCCCGGGCTCTGGGCAGTGCTTCAGGTCAAGGCGGGGGGGTCACTGCACCATAAAGAGCCCTTGGGTTGACCTGATGGCTGAGGCCTCCAGGCTGAGCACCAGCACCCCCAAACCCCCAAATTCCTCAGTTATGGATCAAGCAAGGCAGGATAGAACCCACCCGTGGCCGGGCCAAGGCCTCCCACCCACTGTAGCACTGAGATTTGGGGGTGTCATCCCCCCCCCAACCTTACCCCAGTGCCAGATCACGCATCCCAGGACGTGGGGACCGTGCTCCCTAAGGACACAGCACCACAGTGGGCCCAATGCCACGGCCACACCAAGCCCCCACCCCACGGCCCAGCGCCGGGGCCGTGCGTCAGCACCGCGCCCACGGGACACCTTCCCGGTGAGCTCAGCACCGGCTCGCCCTTCCGGACCACCGCGTGCCACCGGGATCCTCCTGCGGCACCGCAACCGCTCGGTGCCACCGGGGCTGCGGCACCCAAACCCCGTCCATTGCCTGCAACGGGCTTGGTGGCCAAGGGGACAGTGTGTGACCAGCGCGGGTGGCCTTGGGGACGGTGACCTTCAGCCGGGCCACGTGCCGGTGCCGGGGCGGACCGAGCCCCCCGGCACTGGGGGTGCCAGCACCGAACCGGTCAGGCCGGTTCCCGCCAGCGCCTCCCCATCGCGCCGCATGGCCGCCAGCCCGCCGCCGCCCTCCCCATGGCTTCCCTGTGCGAGCCCCCAAAACGCCACCGCGGTGACCCCCAAGTGGGGCCCAGCACTAAAACCCCATTGCGGTGACCCCCAAGTGGGACCCAGCACCAAAACCCCACCGCGATGACCCCCAAGTGGGACCCAGCACCAAAACCCCACCGTGGTGACCCCCAAGTGGGGCCCAGCACTAAAACCCCATTGCGGTGACCCCCAAGTGGGACCCAGCACCAAAACCCCACCGCGGTGACCCCCAAGTGAGGCCCAGCACCAAAACCCCACTGCGGTGACCCCCAAGTGGGGCCCAGCACCAAAACCCCACTGTGGTGACCCCCAAGTGGGGCCCAGCACTAAAACCCCACCACAGTGACCCCCAAGTGGGGCCCAGCACCAAAACCCCACTGTGGTGACCCCCAAGTGGGGCCCAGCACTAAAACCCCACCACAGTGACCCCCAAGTGGGGCCCAGCACCAAAACCCCACTGTGGTGACCCCCAAGTGGGGCCCAGCACCGTAACAACCCCTTGTGCTGCAGTCGCAGCTCCCCAAACGCTGGTTCTGCCATGGGGCACCCCCTCAGCACCACGGGGCTGTGGGATTCGGGGAGCAGCACCCCTCAAACCCCAAATCCTTCTGCTTTGCCCCATGGCCGCCTTGAGCAGGGGGACCAAGCCCCACAGGCACTGGGGGCACCGGACCTGCAGCATCACCCCATAGAGCGACCCCCATCACCCCCTACGCTGGGGGACAGGAAGGGCACTGGGGGGGGTGGCCCGTACCCGCTATGGGGGGGGACGACACTGATGCTCCCCCCACGTGATGGGATTTGCAGCCACCGCATCCCGCCCCCGACGGCCACCCCCGGCTGCCCTAATCCGCTCGGGATTACAGCACCGGCCCCACGTCACCAGCACCGCGGCCGCTCCGGTGGGGATTAGCCCTGACCTTCAACCCCCAGCCCCATCGCAGGGCACAAGGACCCCCCCCCCCCTTCCCCTTGGGGTGCCGAGCTGGATGCGACCCCTGGGTGCCGCCCCAACGGGGGGCTCCCGGTCAGCTCCCCAAAACGGAGCCGTTCCCAAAGCGGGGAAACCGAGGCAGGCGCCGGGGCCGTTCGGGCCGTGGGGAGCGGGGATCATCCCCGCCGGGCGCATTCCAACGGGGAACGTGGGGCACAAGGCACGGCCCCCCCCCCCGCCCCGGGCCGAGGCCAGCCCTGGCAGAGCCATATAAGGGCAGGCGGTGCCCCGTTTCCAGGCGTTTTCCAAGGATCCCAGCGTTCCCTGGGAACGGGCAGGGTCCCTGCGGGCTCCGGCGCAGCTGCCGCGGCTCGGCGCGCCCGGCGCTCCCGGCCCCGGCTGGCACCGAGGGCACCGGCTGCTGCTGGCACCGCTGCCCGGAGCGCCCACGGGGCCCCGACGTGGCCAACGGGCACCCAGCGCCATAGGAGGATGGGGGTCCCGCATCGCAGCCCTCGGGGGCGCCCCCTCCGAAGGGCCTGGGGTGTCCCGTGTGTTCCCGTCCCCCCCCCCCCCCCCCAGCCCCATGGGTGCGTGGTCGTAGGGCTCCCAGGAGCCGCTGTCCGCCGGGACCCACAGCTCTGCCCCACGGCTCACCAGGAGCCCCCACCCCGTCCAGGACCCAACGCTCCTGCCCCGCTGCGATTCAAGGCCTTGGGCATCCCGGAACCCACAGCTCCCGTCGCGTGGGGACCCACAGCTTCTGCCCCACTGAGGCACACAGCAGCGGCCCCAGCGGCGCACACAGCACCGGGCCCCACGGCTCCTTCCCGCACGGACCCACGGTAATACAACAGCTCCTTCCCGCCACAACGGGACCCACGGATCCGGTTCCACCGGGGTGCGATGGATCCCACCCCACCGGCACCCCCGGCACCGATGGGTCCCGCTCCACCGGGACCCCCGGCACCGATGGGTTCCGCTCCACCGGCACCGGGACCGACACCGACGCCTCCCTCCCCAGCGGGACCCCGTGTCCCGGGGCCGGACTCACCGCGCTCCGCCGCCGCCGCCCCGGCCCGTCCGTGCCCGCAGGAAGCGGCGGGAGAGCCCCGGGGGCGGGGACTGCGGCCGCCCCGCCCGGGCTGCCCCGTGAACGGGGAACGACCGGTACGGGCCCGCTATGGGGCCAGTACAGCCCCAGTACAGCCCCGGTACAGGCCCCGTGCGGTGCCGGGTGCCGTCGGGGCATTGGTCCTGGTAGGGTCCCACTACGGTACCAGTGTGATGCTGGGCACGGTCCCACTACGGCACCAGTGTGATGCTGGGCACGGTCCCACTACGGTACCAGTGTGATGCTGGGCACGGTCCCACTACGGTACCAGTGTGATGCTGGGCACGGTCCCACTATGGTACCAGTGTGATGCTGGGCACGGTCCCACTATGGTACCAGTGTGATGCTGGGCACGGTCCCACTATGGTACCAGTGTGATGCTGGGCACGGTCCCACTATGGTACCAGTGTGATGCTGGGCACGGTCCCACTATGGTACCAGTGTGATGCTGGGCACGGTCCCACTGTGGTACCAGTACGGTGCTGGGCACGGTCCCAGTATGGCGCTGGGCACAGTCCCAGTACGGTGCTGGGCATGATCCCACTATGGTACCAGTGTGATGCCCAGCATGGTCCCACTATGGTACCAGTGTGATGCTGGGCATGGTCCCAGTATGGTCCCAGTATGGTGCCGGGCACAGCCCCAATATGGTCCCAGTACGGTGCTAGGCACAGTCCCACTATGGTACCAGTGTGATGCTGGGCACGGTCCCAGTATGGTACCAGTGTAGTCCCAGGATGGTGCCAGGCACGGTCCCAGTACGGTGTTGGGCATGGTCCCGGTATGGTCCCAGTACGGTGTTGGGCATGGTCCAGGCACTGTCCTTATATCAGCCCAGTACAGAGCTGGTTCTGTCCCAATGTGGTGCTGGGATGATCCCGATAGGTTCCCAGTCCCCTCCCAGCGTTCCCAATGCGGTGCTGGGCACATTCCCAGTGTGGTCCCGGCACAGTCCTGGGGTGCCCTGAGTGCGATGCGTGCGGATCCACCGGGGCACCCCGTGGGGTTCTACCAGTGCCAGCAGCCATGGGGCAGACGTGGGGCACCGCAAGTGAGCCCCACACCCCCAGCACCCTCTGTCCCAGGTCTGATCCCAGCTCCATCCCCATCCCCGTGTCCCCATCACGACACGGGAGCCCCAAAACCTGGGTACCACCTCGTCCCCATGGGCCCCACAGCGGCCCCTTCCAGACACCCCCAAACTCCCCCCTTTCCCAGACACCCTATTCCCTCTCCCCACATCCCTCCTCCCGTACCCATTCCCCCCATATCCTTCCCCAACCCACACCATCCCCTCTCCATAGACCCCTCCCCATATCCCCCTAAATCCCCTTTCCACAGACCCCCCCAACCTCCCTCCGCTTTCCCTCTCCCCACATCCCCATTCCCCCTCCCACACCCCCCATATCCCCCCATATCCCCCCCCATACCCCCCCAAATTCCCCTTTCCCTTTCCCATACCCCCCCCAATCCCACCTCCTCCATCCCGCCCGCCCGCTAGGGGGCGCCCCCACACTGCCCCCCTCCTCCCTTCCCGTGAGGCCCCGCGCGGGCCAGGCGGGAAGGCGGCGGGCAAGATGGCGGCGGCGCTGCCGGAGCGGAGCTGCCTGGAGCTGAGCGCGGCCGCTCGGGGCCCAGCGCGGCGCCTCCCGGAGCTCGGCTTCACCCCCCCGGGCACGGCCCCGCTCCCCGCCGGCCGCTACGGGGACAGCGCGGGCGGCTTCTGCTACCGGGACAGCGCCCAGCTGGCGGCCGGCACCAGGAACCGCTTCGTGAGGTGGTGAGTGAGGAACGGAGCGGCCTGGAGCTGCGGGGATGGGGCGCGGGCAGCCAGCGCCTCTGCACCTCACAGGGGAGAGCTTCTGCCTCAGAGCTCATCTCAGTCTCCCCTCGGGCAGGTTCAAGCCATTCCCCTTGGCCTGTCCCTACATCCCTTGTCCCAAGCCCCTCTCCAGCTTTCCTGCAGTCCCTTCAGGCACTGGAGATGCTCTCAGGTCTCCCCTTCAGGAGCCTTCTCTTGTCCAGGCTGCCCCAGCCCAGCTCTCTCAGCCTGGCTCCAGAGCAGAGCTGCTCCAGCCCTTGCAGCATCCCCATGGCCTTGCTCCAGCAGCTCCACGTCCCTCTTGTGCTGCTGCCCCAGAGCTGGTCCTCATCTCCAACCTGGATCCCCCCTGTTTCAGTCTGAACCCATCACCCCTTGTCCTGTCACTCCAGTCCCTATGAAGAGTCCCTCCCCAGCATCCTTGTAGCCCCCTTCAGGCACTGAAGCTGCTCTGAGCTCTCCACACAGCCCCAGGTTTCTCAGCCTGGCTCCATACAAGAGCATCCTCATGGCCTCTTCTGGCCTTGCTGCAGCAGCTCCACGTCCCTCCTGTGTTGCTGCCCCAGAGCTGGTCCTCATCTCCAACCTGAGCTCCCCCTGTTCCAGTCTGAACCCATCACCCCATGTCCCATCAGTGCAGTCCCTGATGCAGAGCCCTCCCCAGCATCCCTGTAGCCCCCTTCAGACACCGAAGCTCCTCTGAGCTCTCCACACAGCCCCAGTGCCCCCAGCCTGGCTCCATCCAGGAGCTGCTCCAGCCCCTGAGCCTCCTCCGGATCCGCTCCCCAGTGCCGAGGCTCCGAGGGTTCCGTTCCCTGCCGAGGCAGCTCCAGGCCTCACCTTGGATGTGCTCGGTCCAGAGCAGGGTCTGTGCCGCGGGGTCTGTGCCGGCTCCTGGACGGTGCCGTCCTCTGTGGGGAGAAGGGAGCTGTGCCCAGCGCTGCAGTGGGGCAGGGACGGGGCAGCTGGTGGATGTCCCTCTGGTGAGCCGGTGTCCGAGCAGGGTCTCCCAGGGCAGAGGGGCAGGATCCCCTCCTGCTCCCCCCCTCTTGCCCCCTAGGGAACTCTCCCCCTTTCCCTCCCCGTGTCCCCTCAGGACCACATCCGGAGACGCCGTGGAGCTGGTGGAGGAGTCCCTGGACGTGAACCTGCTCCACAACGCCGTGCGGCTCCGCATCCACGGCTGCCCCCTGCTCCCCGGGGGGGTGCACGCCTGCGAGACGCAGAGCCACCTGGTGCTGCTGCTGCTCACCGGGCAGAGCGTGCACCGCCTGCTGCTGCCGCACCCCTGCCGCCTGCAGCGCAGCGTGAGTGACCCCCTCCTGCCCCCTTCCTGCCCCTTTCCTGCCCCCTTCCTGCCCCCCTCCTGCCCCTTTCCTGCCCCCTTCCTGCCCCCTTCCTGCCCCCCTCCTGCCCCCTTCCTGCCCCTTTCCTGCCCCCCTCCTGCCTCCCTTCCTGCCCCCCTTCCTGCCCCCTTTCCTGCCCCCCTCCTGCCCCCCTTCCTGCCCTCCTTCTGCCCCCCATCCTGCCCCCTTCCTGCCCCCTTCCTTCCCCCCTCCTGCCCCCCCTTCCTGCCCTCCTCCTGCCCCCCTCCTGCCTCCCTTCCTGCCCCCTTTCCTGCCCCCCTCCTGCCCCCCTTCCTGCCCTCCTTCTGCCCCCCTTCCTGCCCCCTTCCTTCCCCCCTTCCTGCCCCTTTCCTGCCCCCCCTTCCTGCCTCCCCTCCTGCCCCACTTCCTGCCCCTTTCCTGCCCCCCATCCTTCCCCCCTTCCTGCTCCTTTCCTGCCCCCCTTCCTGCCCCCCATCCTTCCCCCCTTCCTGCCCCTTCCTTCCCCCCTTCCTGTCCCCCTTCCTGCCTCCCCACCCCCCTCCTGCCCCCCTTCCTTCCCCCCTTCCTGCCCCCCTTCCTTTCCCCCTTTCTGCCCCCCCATCCTGTCCCCCTTTCTGCCCCCCCTCCTGTCCCCCTTTCTGCTCATCAGGAGCTCTCAGTGAAGCCTCTGAGTGTGTTGCAAAAGATCAACAGCCTCAGTGTGCTTCTCAGTATGGGCATCAAATGCTGCTTCCTGCTGGGACAGGGTTCATTTGGGATGGGATAGGGTCCAGACCCCCCAAAGCCCCCTTCCCCATCCCCATACCTCCTTGGGGTACATCATTTGGGCAGGACAGGGTTAGTTGGTGCTGGGATAGGACCCAAAGCCGCCTCCCTTATCCCCATACTTCCTGCTGGGACAGGGTTCATTCGGGCCAGGACAGGATTCATCTGGGGCAGGACAGGCCCCAGACCCCCCAAAGCCTCCCCTCCTATCCCATACCCCATACTTCCTGTTGGGAGAGGGTTCATTTGGGTTGGGATAGGGTCCAAAGCCCCATCCTCTGTCCCCATACCCCATACTTCCTGCTGGGACAGGGTTCATTTGGGTTGGGATAGGGTCTAAACCCTCCAAAGCCGCATCCCCTATCCCCATACCCCATACTTCCTGCTGGGACAGGGTTCATTTGGGTTGGGATAGGGTCCAAAGCCCCATCCTCTGTCCCCATACTTCCTGCTGGGACAGGGTTCATTTGGGTTGGGATAGGGTCCAAACCCCCCAAAGCCCTATCCCCATCCCCCATACTTCCTGCTGGGACAGGGTTCATTTGGGTTGGGATAGGCTCTAAAGCCCCATCCCCTATCCCCATACCCCATACTTCCTGATGGGACAGGGTTCATTTGGGGCAGGACAGGGTTCATTTGGGGCAGCACAGGGTTCATTTGGGGCAGCACAGGGTTCACTTGGGCCAGCACAGGGTTCACTTGGGCCAGCACAGGGTTCACTTGGGCCAGCACAGGGTTCATTTAACCCTACCAAGAGTTAACTTCCACCCTGGGAGCTTGCGTGGTGCCCTGGTTTGGATCTGTGACCAAAGCCCTGTTGATAACACACACGAAGAGGGTAACCTTTGCTGGGCAGCCTCAAGGCCAAGGCTCTGGCCCTTCCATGGGGATAGATCTGGGGCTTTGCAGTGCTTTTTGGAGGGGCACAAATGGAAACATGGCCTGAGAGAACCAAAGAGATTTTCCTTGCTGCGTATCCTAGAGCCATAGAATGGTTTGGGTTGGAAAGGAGCTTAAGATCACCCAGTTCCAACCCCCTGCCATGGGCAGGGACACCTCACACTAAACCATGGCACCCAAGGCTCTGTCCAGCCTGGCCTTGAACACTGCCAGGGATGGAGCATTCACAGCCTCCCTGGTTGGATTTCTTTATGGGTGCTGTCAGGTGCCAAGCTCCCCAGTGCTCGCCTGCTTGGCCAGCTGCAGTGAGGGTGCTCAGCAGCGTGGGGCAGCTCCCTGGGTGGAAGTGAGAACTAATGGGAAGAAGAGTTAAATAAGGACAGGCAGCTGGAACTCTCCCCCTCCAGGAGCTGAATGTACTCAGGTTGTGGGTATCCCGCTTGCAGCAGCGTTCCCTAAACCTGGGGCAGCCAGGTTTGATCCTAACCTGCCCTCTGCCCACAGCCAGGTATAAAATGCCCTTATTTCACTGACTAGGGGGTTCTTACACCACGTTTACATCCCCTTTACCCCTTTGCTGTGGCTTTCCCCTCTGGTGTCTGCTTCTGGTGTGTCTCAGCAGGTCCCTTGCCTTTGCTGGGGAGCTCCTCTGTGGCTTTTAGGGTGCCAGAGCTTTCCCAAGGGCTGAGGCTGTGCTGCTGCAGAGCTGCTTTTCATGCTTCTCTAGCAGCATTCAGCTGTGAGCTGCCTTGAGGGAGCTGATGGGCTGTGGGGCTGCTTTGGGGGCTCTTAGGGTGTATGATGGAGGGAGCAACGGGGTCCTCTGCTAGGAGAAGGCAGGTTTGGCATCCCCGCTCCTAAAGAGCAGCTGGGGGTTACAGCATGGGTGTTCTCCCTGCACCACCCCTTCTTGTCACCCAACAGCATCACCATTGCCGTTCCACACGTGTCTGGTTGGAGTTTCTGTGCCTTGTGTGGCCGTGTGTGCTCAGGCTTTGTCCTCTCTGTGCTTCCCCCCCTCTTCTCCTCCAGGAGCTGATCACAGAGAGCCAGATGCAGTCGGTGTTTGCAGACATTGGCAAGAGCAGCTTCAGGGACCCTGTGAATTACTGCGTGATTCCCAACGTGCCAGGCCTGGCACCCAGCTCCGTTGCCTCCGCAGCGTGGCTCAGCAGTGAAGGGGAAGCTCTCTTTGCCCTGCCCTCGGCTGCAGGAGGGATCTTTGTCCTTAAGCTGCCTCCTCACGATGCACCAGGTAAGGGCAGCTCAGCCCTGCTCTTTGCTTTCAGCGTTGGCCAAAGGCCTGGAGGGCCAGGCCAAGGGGAATGGCTTGAACCTGCCTGAGGGGAGACTGAGATGAGCTCTGAGGCAGAAGCTCTTCCCTGTGAGGGTGCTGAGGCGCTGGCACAGGGTGCCCAGAGAAGCTGTGGCTGCCCCATCCCTGGCAGTGCTCAAGGCCAGGTTGGACACGGGCTTGGAGGAAGCTGCTGCAGTGGAAGGTTTAGGCTGAGAAAGTTGGGGCTGTTCAGCCTGGAGAAGAGAAGGCTGCAGGGAGACCTCAGAGCAGCTTCCAGTGTCTGAAGGGGGCCTATAGGGATGCTGGGGAGGGACTCTTCATTAGGGACTGCAGTGACAGGACAAGGGGTAACGGGTTCAAACTGAAACAGGGGAAGTTTAGATTGGGTCTAAGGAGGAATTTCTTCACTGTGAGGGTGCTGAGGCACTGGAATGGGTTGCCCAGGGAGGTTGTGAATGCTCCATCCCTGGCAGTGTTCAAGGCCAGGTTGGACAGAGCCTTGGGTGCCATGGTTTAGTGTGAGGTGTCCCTGCCTGTGGCAGGGGGTTGGAACTGGATGATCTTAAGGTCCTTCCCAACCCAAACCACTCTGGGGCTCTGTGTTGATTCCATCTTTATTCCACACCCAGAAGCTCTTCTCCGTGGTGCCTGTGAAGCCCCTCGCTGGTGGCACTGAACAGTTTGCTCCTGAATACTTCATATATTTCTTTATACCCCTTCTCTTCTGAAAGGAGCAGTTTCCATTGTGGAACTGAAGCAGAGCTCAGTGGTGCAGCGGTTCCTCACCGGCTGGATGCCAACAGCCATCAGGTCAGTGCGTGGTGATGGGGAAGCAGACCTTGTTTTCTGTCTTTCCCCTCCCGGAGAGCTCCCAGCTGAAGTTCAAGGCAGGCAATTCCCATCCCTAAATACCCTGCCAGGAAAGGGGAGCTGGGTCACAGGCCCCATCGTGATACGGAAGTGGGGACGTGAGCGCTGGATTAGTTCATCTTAACAGGGTCCTGCTGATGCGGTGCCTGTGTCTACAAGTATGGGATGTCTGGTAATTGGCCTCCAAGGATTTGCCCGGGGTATGGCTCATGGCCAGAGGAGATTAGGGATTACACCAGTTGTATGTCCTTGTTCCTGAGCAGCAGAGGTTACGTGTGGGTGACGGGCTCCTTGTTCAGCTTGGAGGAGGCTCTTTAAGGGGGGACCTTAGAGCAGCTCCAGCACCTAAAGGGGCTCCAGGAAACCTGGAGAGGGGCTTTGGCCAAGGGAGGCAAGGACAGGACACGGCGTGGACACAGTGTGCAGGCTGGGCTTGGTGTTGGATTGGAGTTGTTGCTATCTTGGAGCACCCATCCACCTTCTAAGCCCCATAACTTTGAAACGGGAGCAAGTCCTCCATGCCCTGATTGACTTTGACCATTCCAAGTGTTGCCTGGGGCTGTTTGGATCCTTGCTTCCCTCTGGACCCTTTGCTCACATTCTGCCAGCACTAGGCTGGGGCTGGGGAAGCCAGGGTTGGGGTTTGGCTCTACCAAAGCAGGTAAAGACCTGGTTGTTACTGGTGTCGTGGCCTCTTCCGCGCAGTCCCGAAGTGCTGCTCTCTCCTCCTGGTCTCACCCCACTGATTTATTGGTGCTGTAGAAACCCTGTGCCCCGGATCTCTGCAGCAGCTTGGCTTTGCTTTGAAGCTGTTGAAACAAGCTCTGTGTTTCAGAGGCGACTGCGGCCCCTCGGACCTGCCCATCAGCCTCTCCGTGCACTGCCTCGACCACGACGCCTTTCTCTTTGCTCTCTGCCAGGACCATAAGCTTCGGATGTGGTCCTATAAGGTGAGCAAGGCCTGCATTTGGGGGGGACCAGCACCTTCCATCGCCCCTCGGGTGACAGCCTGAGGCTGTAGGACCACGGGCTGAGTGGTTGGTGTAGGTTTTAATCTGCTTTCCTGTTGTCACTGCAACTTCTACACGCTCAGATGTGGGACAGTTTGCGAGCTGTTGTGGGGTGGGTTTGTAGCTGGGGGGGGTTTCCTCTACAGGCACAGGGTAAAAGGCAATGTTAGGGTATTTGTGAGCATAGGGAAGCATGCAGGAGGGCAGGCAGGAGCTCTTTGAGTGCTGAGGAGGTGCTCCCGAAGGATTTTGTTCCTCTTTAGAGGTGCTAAGAGCGTCTTTGTGACATGGCTGCATGTCAACGAGAAGTTCATAAGCAAAGGCTCAGCTCCTGCCTGCCACTTGCTCCAAATGCCAGTGGCAGAGCTAATGGAGCAGCACAACTGCTTTCACGGCTCATCTGCCCTGGAATGTGTGGGTTAAAGGAGGGAGGGGAAGCTTCGCCCTATGTGCCTGAGCAGAGGGCACAGGAAGGACCTCTGTGGGTCAAGCACCCATAGGGTGCTTGCATCTTTTAGGGGAAGAGCAGGGCAGAAATTGAGGAGAACGAAGGGCAAAGAGCAGTTTTTCAGTCCTGACCCTTCCCTGAGCTCTTTTCCTGCCACCTTTTCCCCTACACAGGACCAAATGTGCCTGATGGTTGCAGATCTGCTGGAGTTCATGCCGGTGAGCAGGGACCTGAGGCTCGCGCTGGGGACCAGCCACCGCCTGCGCTTGGCCTTCTCCCCATCCCTGGGGCTTTACCTCGGCGTCTACATGCACGCCCCCAAGTGTGGGCAGGTATGGAGTGATGGGTTCCTCCCTTGGAGCTCATCTTTCTTGGGCCGCGTGGAAACAGACCGTTCCTCCTCGGATTCGGGTCTGTAAAGCAAGAACTAGGGCAGAGTTTCACGTGTGACCCTCTGGAGAGAGCAGTTCCTTGGGAGTCAAGAGTTTGGCTCCACAAGCAGCGCAGGATACACGTGCCCTCATCCTGGGAGTGGAATTCCCTGTGTGACTGCGCTGCTCTGGGAGTGCTTGTTCACTCCTTCACCTCCTGCTGCAGCAGGATCCCAAAGGCACGTGTGTGCCGTGGGAAAAGGGGAGCTCCGTGAGGGGCTCCAAGGGGGGAGATACGGGTGGGATGTTTACATCAGGCTCCTGGGAGCGTGTGGACTCATCCCTGCGTTGCCAGACATGGACTTCGTGTGGGGAATGATATATTTAGCCGGGCAGGAATGACAGCGTGGAGAGGTCTCATCTGCTGGACAGCTTACCCTGTCCATTCCCAGGGGATGCATGTACGTAGTAGAAGTGGTCATGACTTTGCTGGCTCTGGTAAGAAAACACAGAGCTTGGTTTGGAGCGAGCAGCCGGAGCATTTGGGGCTTTGCCACCACGGTCTCCTAAGCCAAAAGGATTCAGGTCGAGGTGTGTGTCCTGCCCTCACCCCTATAGGGGTGCTGAGTGTAGCGTCAGGGAAGGAAAGGGAGAGATAGAGGAGCTTCCTGGTGATGTGCTGCTTATGGATCCTTCAGCCAGTGCCTCACAAGGTGTGTTTGTAGTTCTGTGTCTTCCAGCTGGTGAGCACCGAGAGCAACCGCTACAGCCTTGACCACATCTCCTCCCTGTTCTCTTCCCAGGTGAGTGCAGGGCCCAGCTCCCCAAAAGGCAGCAAGATGAGAGGGAGCGTTGGTCACTGAGTGATCAAGGGAGACTGGATGGAGCAGCCCTGAGGAGCAGGACTTGGGGTGTTGGGTGAGGGGAAGGTCCTCATGACCCGGCTTCAGTGGGCACTTGAGCCCAGACCCCTCCCTGGGTGCTGGGCTGCACCCCCAGAGCGTGAGCAGCAGCTCAGGGAGGGGATTCTGCCCCTCTGCTGCATGAAGGGGAGACCTGAGAGCAGCTCCAGTGCCTAAAGGGGCTGCAGGAAACCTGGAGAGGGGCTTGGGACAAGGGCCTGGAGGGACAGGCCAAGGGGAATGGCTTGAACCTGCCCGAGGGGAGACTGAGCTGAGCTCTTAGGCAGAAGCTCTTCCCTGGGAGGGTGCTGAGGCGCTGGCACAGGGTGCCCAGAGAAGCTGTGGCTGCCCCATCCCTGGCAGTGCTCAAGGGCAGGTTGGACACAGGGGCTTGGAGCAAGCTGCTCCAGTGGAAGGGGTCCCTGCCCAGGACAGGGGTTGGAGCTGGAGGAGCTTCAAGGTCCCTTCCAACCCAAACCAGGCTGGAATTCTGTGATCTGAGTGTGAATAAAACCTTCCCAAGGCCTGGTTAAACAATAGGAGGGAACGTTCTGCTGTGTTTTGTTATGGCCACACGCCTCTGGTGTCCTTGAATTTATGATAAGAAAGTAAATGCACTTTCCCTCTCTTGCAGGAGACTCTCATTGACTTTGCCTTAACCTCCTCGGAGATCTGGGCGCTGTGGCACAACGAGGAGAACCAAACTGTTGTGAAGTACATCAACTTTGAGCAGTGAGTTTCGGTCCTGACCTGCTGCTGTTGGTCACATTGGTCACCCCAGGGGGATGGGGACCAGCAGGAGCAGGTCCACGTGCTCCTCATTAAAGCACCACTCGAGCTCCTCATCTCCTGCCCTGCTGTGCTGGCTCGAGTGTGTGGAGATGCAGGAGGGCTGTTTGTGTCACATCCACCGCAGTGTCCTCCCTGCCGTGCCCATTCCCTGGATTTCCAGTGTTCCAGGGGCTAGGCTGTGCAATAAAAGCCAGGGCTGAGCTGCAGGAATGTGAAGAATGTGGAAAGCCAGGCAGCAGGAGGCTGGGGGGACACGGAGGCTGCTGTGAGGGTGGCAGAGGGAGGGCTCTGCTTCAGCAGCACCTCCTTCAGACCAAAGCTGGCCAGTCTGTTCCACGGAAGGTGATGTTTGAGGGAGATCAGTGGTGTGGAAGCATCATCCCTCCCTTTATAAAGCAGAAAGGGAAGGTTTGGTGCAGGAGAGTTAAAGAGTATGGGGGGGAATGCTGTTAGTAACCGAGTTTAGGCAGGGGAATGTAATGGTCAGTGTGAGAAAGAGCCACCTGATGAGCACGTGTGATGGGGAGAGCACTGATGTTAAGGAAGGAATCCAAGCTCTGCTGTTAGCTTAGGGCTGGGAATGCCACCACTGAGCTCAATCTGTCCCTCGTCTCCAGCCCAGCTCCCCAGGGTTATGATCCCTGTACCGTCCACGCTCGCTGGTGGAGCTCAGAGCTCCGGTTCTGGTGGCTGCTCCCGTGCTGGAGCTGACCCTGGGTTTGATGGTTGCCTTCCAGGAACGTGGCAGGCCAATGGAACCAGGTCTTTGTGCAGCCGCTGCCTGAGGAGGAGGTGACGGTTCGACACGACCAGGACCCCAGGGTGAGCACAGTGTGAAGCAGCAGCAAGAAGGGATGAAGCTTCTGTGCCCAGGAGAGCATTGAGCCAGCTCGGGTGGACAAATGGCGTTGATAGAGACCTGAAATGACTCCAGATGAAAGGGGACAAGCCTGAGCCTCTGTTAGCATTAAAGCCCTGAGGGTGGTGATGAAACCAGTTGAGGGATGAGGAGAATTTCAGGTCAGTCAAGAGAGAGCCTGCAGCCAAGATGTGTGAATAAACAAGGTCTGGAGTGTGAAGGCAGCAGTGATCCATATGGGAGGGTGTGGGTGTGAAGTGAGGCAGATCCAGGGGACGAGCTTGGGGATGGGAGGAAAGAGCAGAAGCAGTGTCTTCACTGGTTTCCCGACTTGTGTGTTTCCTTAAACTGGGATCCTTTTCCAGGAAACCTACCTGGAGTATCTCTTCACACCAGGCCGCTTCAGCAATGCAGCCATCCAGAAGGCTTTGCAGGTCAGTAGAGGGCACAGCAGGTCCCTGGGCTTCCTTTCCATTGCCTGCTCTGAGCAGAGACTCTCAGTTCCCCCCATAGAGCTGTTGCTCAGGATGTATCCCCTCAGCTCTGGCTCCTCCAGGACTGCTGAGGGCAGAGCCAAGCAGGATCATGACCACTCTCACCCCACCAAGCCCTGGCTGATGCTCTCGCATCTGCTGGGTGTCACTTGATGCTGCTTGCCCCTCAGGGAAGCAGTGCTTTGCCTTTAAAGTGGAAGTTTTCCTGTGCTGCTTTCCAGATCTTTTCTCAAGGAACAGAGAGGCACATGGATCTGACATGGGATGAGTTAAAGAAAGAGGTTACCTTGGCTGTGGAGAGCGAGGTGAGATGTGCTGGTTGGCTTCCTGTGATGTTCTGTGCTGACAGCTGGTGTTGTGCTGGTTTGGTGAAGCCAAATGAGGTGCAAAGTGACCTCAGGCCTTGTTTTGCCCTTTGTGTCTCCAAACGAGTTGTGTGAAAGTACAAAGCCATGTCCTTCCTGCCTGCCTTTTCCATTCCCTCCTCTGCTTTGGAGGCCCTTCTTGGTGTTCTGCTGTTGCTTTCTATGGGTGCCCTTTGCCAGAGCCCATGCAGCTCCCTGCGTGGGGATGCTCGAAATCAGAGTCCCAGGCTTGGGTTGGGTTGGAAGGAGGCTTAAAGCTCAGTGCCCCTTGTCTTGTCCCTCCAGGCCCTTGTCCAAAGCCCCTCCCCAGGTTTCCTGGGGCCCCTTTAGGCACTGGAGCTGCTCTCAGGTCTCCCCAGAGCCCAGCAGAGGGGCAGGATCCCCTCCCTGAGCTGCTGTTCATGCTCTGGGGGTGCAGCCCAGCACATGGGGGGGGTTCTGGTCTCAAGCGCTCACTGAAGCCAGGTCCTGGGGAGCTGCTCCTCACCCAACACCCCAAGTCCTTCCCCTCAGGGCTGCTCCATCCAGTCCCCCCCCAGCCTGGGTTTGTGCTGGGAATTGCCCCACACCAGGCTCAGGACCTTGCCCTTGGCCTCGTTGAACTCCCATGAGGTTCACATGGTCCTGCCTCTGCAGCCTGTCCAGGTCCCTCTGGGTCCCATCCTTCCCTCCAGAGGATCAGCAAACTCACTGAGGGGTCACTCAATCCTGTTTGTCCGTGTCTCCAGCAAGGATGTTAAACAGGAGCAGCCCCTGAGGAACTCCCCTTTATCTAGGCTTGTGTCCTAAATGGTGCCTGTGGGCTTTGTTCCCCTTGCTGTTTGCTGTGTGAGTCGCTGCTGTAGGGAAATACTGCTGTTTTGACAAGGAAGGCAACTGTAACTGGGGTTTCTAAACCTCAACCACCCAAAGATGTCATGACAGAGCAAACCACCAGCAGAGCAGCTTGAGCACTGCCGTTTACCTCCCGGCTTCCCTGCCTGTATCCACCTGAAGTCTCACTGTGTGTCCTCCCTCTCAGTTCCAGGGCAGTGTGACAGAGTACGAGTGCTCCCTGGAGGAGTTCTGGCAGCTGCAGGTGGAATTCTGGTCCAAGTTCTATGCGTGTTGTCTTCAGTACCAAGAAGCTCTGGCGAGGCCCTTGGCCCTGCACTTGAATCCCCACACGGGCATGGTGTGCCTGCTCAAGAAGGTGAGGCTGGTGGTGCTGCTGGGGCCACCTTGAAGCTGTGATGGGCAGGGAGGGATCTGACCGAGCTGTGGGCTTGGGGAGCTCCAAGAAGGGCTTTCTTCTCTTCCCAGGGCTCCCTGTCTTTCCTCGTGCCCTGCTCCTTGGTGGACCATCTCTATCTCCTCTCTAACGAGCACCTCCTCACTGAGGACGACGCTGCCATCTTTGATGGTAAGTGGGGAGACCTGGAGCTTATCACTGCTGGAAGCTGCAGGCAGAGGGGTGAGGGGCTTCCCATAGGAGTCCCTTGAAGACCCCACGGTTGTCTATATGGAGAGGGTTGTCTTTATGTTGGGGGGTTTGGGTTGGTTTTGCTGCTGTGCTCACAGCAGGACGTAGAAAATGATGTCAGGGCTGCAGATGTGACTCACTGCAGGTACCTTCAAACTGGTTAAGCTGAGATGCCAGACTCTGTGTTGCTGGGTGACAAGGACCTGCATTGATGGGTCCTCTGCCCTTTTAGCTTTATAAGCTACCTGTGGAGGCTGTGGTTAACTGGTGCCCTCTTCGTGCCTGCTCTCTGTGGGGCGGAACACGAGCCCTGCTTAACCTTAACTCATTTGGGTGCTTGCCCAGCTTTGCCATCCCCACCAAGAGCTGCAAGATCTGCTCTGACTCAATGCAAGCAGCTCTCTTCTGTGATAGTCCCCAGTCTCTGTGTCTTGGTGATGGAGTAAACTCGGATGTTACAGATAAGGGGGGAACCTGCGACCGTCTGAGCACCCAGGGCTCAGCACCCAGTGCTGCAGGCTTAGTTTGTCACAGAATCCCAGCCTGGTTTGTGTTGGAAGGGAGCTTAAAGCCCCTCCAGCTCCAACCCCTGCCACGGGCAGGGACCCCTTCCACTGGAGCAGCTTGCTCCAAGCCCCGTGTCCAGCCTGGCCCTGGGTTCAGTGTTTTGTATCAGTGCTCCTGTGTAAGCTCTGGGCAGGGATTATCCCGTTTCTCCTCTGGGAAGTCAATACCAGAGCGTGCAAACCCTGTTGTTAATGTTGTGACCACGGTGCCCCCTGTGCTTTGCTCGTCTGGGAATGACGTTTTGCTGGGGAAAAAGCAATGGAAAATGTTACCTAAGCTCCACTTTCATGCTCGAGTGCTTTTTCTAAGAGGAGTTGTCATCCATTTGCTCGAGCTATTTTGGGACCAAAGGGAAGGGAAGGGAAGCTGGCCTGGGCTGGCGCTGGGAGGCTCGTGGTGCCTGCTTTGTCTGCTTCAAACTGCTCCCCAAATGTGACTGTAAAAGCACATGGATGCGGGATTGCTCTGTAAAATGGGGTTTTAGAGAGGGCTGAGCTTTGAGCTCTGCTCTAAGAAGGCAAAAATCCTCCCTAGGCTGTTATTAGCGTGCGCTGAGCTCTTTGCTCCGGGCTGGTTTTTGCTCTTACACTGCACTAATGATTCCCTTTCAACCTGTGGCTGGGAAGAAAATCCCTTGGAGGGAATTCTGTTGCCTTATTGTTGCATGGCTGCCTTTTGCTTTCCAAAGAATAAAGCCCAAAGCTGTCCCTTGTCAACTCCTTCGGCTGTAATTTGGCCTCGTCCTTAGGGAAGGGTCATTCTCGCGTGTGGGACTGAGACCAGTGTGCTGCTAGGAGCTGAACTAACTGGGTTTTGATGGTCCTCCCACCTTCCCCTTGAAATCCCTTGTGAATATACAGTTAGATTCTTTCATTACAGATTTGGAGATGTCTCGTGATGTTGTCTGTCTTGTCCAGTGCCTTCGCCTGATCGGAGAATCAATTTCCATGGAAATGGCTTTCCTCATGGAAATGGCTTGCTCCCGCCTCCAGCCTCCAGAAAAGGCTGCAGAGCAGATCCTGGAGGACTTGATAGCTAATGACACGTAAGGAGATGCTTTTGCAGATGTTCCCCTGCTGGGGGACACTGAGGATGCCTGAGCAGGGATTGCCTGGAGCCGTCCTCCATCGGCATCCAAGCTGTGTGGGCTCTCCCTGTGCTACGTGGGGCTTTTCCAGGTCCCCTCGGAGGTGGGAATGTGGGTGTTGGTGGCATTAGCAGGGGCTTCCCTCCAGAACCCTCTTCCTACTGCTCGGAGCCCTCTAGGAAATAAAGGCTGGTGATCCTCAGGTGAGATAAAGAGGAGCACGTTCCTGTGAGGTGATTATTGCAGTGTGGAAAGCAAGCGCTTGCAGATACTTAGGGAGAGGTCAGAGCCTTGGTCAAGCCCTGTGGTTACTGTGCTAACCTCCTGGAACCATTCCCCTGTGGAATGCCAGCTATCTGCCTGCCATTTCCTGGTAGCCTGGGGGAGTGGAATAAATAGACCAGTCCCTGCCGGCGCTGTAATAAAACTCTCAAGCCAGAAGAGGTTTCCCATCAGGAATGTCCAGGCTGATCTGGCACCACGCAAGGAGGAAAGGGAGCCCTCTTGAGCTTAAATCTCACGGTGATGATGATGATGTTCCCTTTGCAGGGAGAACGTGATGGAGGATATCCACAGCAAACTGCAGGAGATCAGGAACCCCATCCACGCCATCGGAGTGCTCATCCGAGAAATGGACTACGAGACGGATGCTGACATGGAAAGAGGTGACAGCTCCTCAGCAGCACCCCCCCCCCGGGCTGGGAAGCAGCAGCTCTGCCAGCGTTCTCAGTGCTCTGGCTCCTGCTCTGTAGCTGGGTGCTTTTCTCTTCCAGCTCATCACCTAAGTATGCGCCTGAACCTCACCCAGCTCTATGGGAGCGCTATGGCTGGCAGCGTGGTTTGCTGGGGGGTGTGTAAAGTCGCCTCCATCCGCTTCCTGATCTGTCGGGACCTGTTGGTCCTCCAGCAGCTGCTCCTTCGCCTTGGAGATCCTGTGAGTACAGCCCTTGGAGCTATTGCTCTGCCTGCTTTGAACTCCGGGAGCTGGGCTCCTGCTGGTGCCAGGCTCCCAGCTCTGTCTCTTCCCACAGAGCATTGGGTGAAGCAGCCCCAGGCTCGGGCAAGCCCTGTTGGCTTTTGTCATCCTCAGCAAAGCTCACGCCCCAGTTCCCTCTTTCCATGCTGAGCATCCAGGAAGCAGGAATTAAACCTCTTTTGTGGGAGAAGGGCATTGTTTCCAGCCTCCCATCTGAAGCAGCATTGCCTGAGCACGCACAGTTCTCCATCTCTTTGCCCATCCCCACGGCAGCGTCACAGCATCGGTGTTTACCCACAGGCCGTGGGTTTGGCCTCTCCAGGGCTGTCCCAGTCTGTGCAAACAGCCCCTGTGAAGGTTGTGGCCGTGGACTGGGCTGGGTTCATCCTGTTGGGCATGTGGCCACGTGAGGGAAGGTGCTGAGGCTTTGGGTGGACGCAGGGATGCGGAACAAGACAAAAGGGAGCGTTGTTTAAACTAACACTGTTTACCTTGGAAACACGGCTGCAGGAGCTGCTTGGTTGAAAACTCCTTCCTGGATAATCATCAGAGTCACAGCCTGGTTTGGGTTAAAGGGACCTGAAAGTTCAACCAGTCCCAACCCCTGCCCCGGGCAGGGACCCCTTCCACTGGAGCAGCTTGCTCCAAGCCCCTGTGTCCAACCTGGCCTTGAGCACTGCCAGGGATGGGGCAGCCACAGCTTCTCTGGGCACCCTGTGCCAGCTCCTCAGCACCCTCCCAGGGAAGAGCTTCTGCCTAAGAGCTCAGCTCAGTCTCCCCTCGGGCGGGTTAAAGCCATTCCCCTTGGCCTGTCCCTACAGGCCCTTGTCCAAAGCCCCTCTCCAGGTTTCCTGCAGCCCCTTTAGGCACTTGAAGACTGTTGTAAGGTCTCTGTAATCACAGAATGGAATCATAGGATGGCTTGGACATAGAATGGTTTGGGATAAGGCTGCCCTGGTAGCATTTAAAGCACATTGCAAGGTGCCCTTCTGGAGCCAGGCTCTCACAGAGCACATGTGCCCTGCTGCTTGCTCACTCAGGAGCTGGTGCTTTGCTGCTTTGACACGCTCGTGTCCTCCACAAGCCTGAATTGTTCCTCTCTGGTGTCACCCAGCTCTCGGCTGGAGCGTGCAGGGGTGCGACACGGGGGCAGCAGGACTGGGCCCTTTGTGGTCTCTGCAGCAAAGTGGTTTTGCTCTTGGTGATGGGATCGCACCTTTGGTGTTTGCAGGCTGGAGAAGCACTCGGTGCACACAGCTTTGCTTGTTCACCTTTCCCCATGGGGTTTGGGCCACCAGAAAGGTTAACTCACTCACCCCTTTGTCTAAAGGGATACAGGACATTTGGGTGCTGGAGAGGGACTCTCATCAGAGCCTGTAGGGACAGGCCAAGGGGAATGGCTTTAACCTGCCCTGTGGCAGGGGTTGGAGCTGGAGGAGCTTCAGGGTCCCTCCCAACCCAAACCAGTCTCTGATCCTTTGATTTCACACTGGGATCTGTGACTGGGTTATTCTGGCTCATGCAAGGGTCCTGCTGCTCACTTGGTGGTTTTGTTCCTTGCTGGGCTGGTGACCTCTGTGGTGCTTGCATGGGGGACAAGCAGGGCCTGCCCCAAACCCCCTCGCCTGCCCTTGATCCTGCCATGGCTTTTGGTGTTCCAAGCCCTTGTGCTTTGCTTGCAGACGGTTTTGGGAGGGGGACAACTGTTCCAGTCCCAGCAGGACCTGCTGCACCGCACCTCTCCCCTGCTGCTCTCCTATTACCTGATCCGGTGGGCGAGCCAGTGCCTGGCCTCCGACGTCCCTGTGGACACCCTGTAAGTCCCTACCGTGCCCATTGTGCCTTTGTCTTGTAGGTTCCTGCTAAAGCCACCTGAAATGCCCTTCCTGGTATGAAGAGCTGGTGGTTGCAGTGGGTGTATGGCTCCGGGGGGGGGGGCAGGTTGTGCTGGGGAGGGTGGGTTTGCTCCTGCTGTGGTTTGAGCTGACTCTTTGCCTTGTGCTCCTTGTGTGAGGTCTCCCTGTTCTGGGGCTGTTGCCTTTTGCAGCAGTGGGAGTCATCCGAGCTGAACAATGAGCACGATTAAAGCAGAAGGCGTTTTGTTGTCTCTTCACTGATGGCTTTTCTTCTTCTCTAGGGAATCTAATCTGCAGCATCTCTCTGTGTTGGAGTTAGCAGACACCACTGCTCTGACAGCCCATAGACTGGGTAAGGCACCGCTTCAGCAGCTCCAGGCCTCTGTTCTTTATACCTCTTGCACCCTGAAATGCTTCGTGCATTCTACAGCTGCCTGCCAGGAGGATGGAGCCAGGAGGGGCTGGGCTCTGCTCCCAAGGAACAAGGGATGGGACAAGAGCAAAGGCCTCAAGCTGCCCCAGGGCAGGTTTAGATGGAGCTGAGGAACAATTCCTGCCCCAGAGGGTGCTCAGGCATTGGAACAGGCTGCCCAGGGCAGGGGCCCTGCAAGTGCTCCCAAACCCTATAGACAAGGCCCTCAGTGCCGTGGGTCAGTGGTGGCCTTGGCAGGGCTGGGAATGGTTGGACTGGGTGAGCTTGGAGCTCTTTTCCAGGCTGGTTGATTCTGTGATTCCATGATTTATCCCACAGCAACCAGGGAAGCACGAGGATGTAGAAATACTTCCCCAAAACACGCTCCTGCTTCCAGCTGGGTGCAGTTCAGTCCTGAGTGATGCTCACAGCTGGTACCTCGAGGGGGAAACCGCAGCTCGTAAATCATTCATGTTTCCATAGGATCCCAGACTGCTTTGGGATGAAAGGGAGCTTAGAGCTCACCCAGCTCCAACCCCTGCCCCGGGCAGGGACCCCTTCCAATGGAGCAGCTTGCTCCAACGTGGTCGTAAGCACTTGTGGAAGTCTCACTGCAAAGACACACTTTAGGTTACCGTTCTGGGGGCGAAATCCTAATGGGGGGAGAATATAAAGCAACCTCATGAGGATGAGGGTGGTGTGTGCCTTGAAGTGGTTACAGAGGGAGGTGGCGAGGAGGGCAGGGGAGAAGAGGCCCCAGTGAGGGCCTGCTCTGACTGCTCTGCACTCAGAGGCTGAGATGCTTCAGAGGGAGCAGAGAAAGGCAGCGCCAAGCAGGCAGCAGCACCTCGTGTGAGGGGCTGGGAGCTGGGGAAGGATCCCTGCTGCTTCCCGAGAGCCCTTTGGGGCATCTTTGAGAGCAGACTGTGACCTCTGGAGTCCAAACACTCGCTGCATGAGGCAGGAGGCACTTTGTGCCTCCCTGTGAATGTCAGGGAGTGCAGGGCGGATTGAAAGCATCCTTTGTGTGTGCCAGGCTCGTGGGCTCGCTCTTGGCCTGCTCGTGAGGAAAGTCCTGTTTGGCTGCTGTGGCTTGGGAAAGGGGGGGGGGAAGTATGTGAAACATAGGGAAGGCAGAGAGGAGGTGGCAGCCTGCAGGGAGGCGTTGGGAACGGTTGCTAATGGGAGCTGGGAGTGCTGGAATGAGGAGGGAGGCATCCGAGCGGGAGCCACATAGCCAAATCAGCACTGCCTCCACCCTGCCCTGCAACAGGCAGCAGGGAGAGCTGCAGCTGGCTTGTGAGGAGAGCAGGGGGAGCAAGAGCAGAGCCCTTTGTTTCCATCCCATAATGGAGCTGTGGTTACCAAACAGCGCCCTGCAGGGCTCTCTGAGCTCCTGCTGCTCCCCCTGACTTCAGGCAGAGACATCCCAGCCCATTGAACGTGCTTTGTTGGTTGGCTCTGACTTGCTCTGCGAGCAGCAAGGGTACAGCCGGGCTCTTGGGGCCAGGGATGGGCACTGGGGCTGGTGCAGGGCCTGGAGCTCAAGTGTGATGGGGAAGGGAAGGCTCGGGGGGCACGGACGGACCTGATCTCTCTCTTAAAGGTCTTTTCCAACCTGGTTGATCGATGTGTGCTGCAGGCCCTCTTCTCAGCGCTCCTTTCACCTCTGTGTTTCAGTATCCAGCCCTCAGACAATCGTGGAGCTGTTCTTCCAGGAGGTGGCCAGGAAGCACATCATCTCTCGCCTCTTCTTGCAGCCAAACACCACCTTGGCTGAAACAAGCTTGAACTGGCCCCATCTCATCACAGCCATAGTGGCTGACTTCCTGCCCCTGCTGTATCCTTGCCTGTGCCCACTGTAACCAGGAGGAGGATCCATAGGGCATGGAAGCCCATAACCCTGGTGTGGAGGCTCCATGCTGTCCCATTTGTGAGGTTGGGAGCACGGGTGGGTCTGTGGAAGGAGGGTTGGCACTAGCAGAGGGGTTAAGGTGCTGGGCTGCAGAGCTCTGAGGGGCTAAGTTGGCCACCCCTGCTGTCTGCAGCTCCAAAATCCATGTTTTCCCCATCCAGGTTTCCAAGAGAAGTCTCCTGAGCAAGTGGCTGTTGTTGGTGTTAATGGGATTTGTGGGTATTGGAAGGTTTCACCCCATTTGGGTGCACAATAAGGGATTTGAGCTTTGACTTTAAGCCCCTGAGCTCTAGGAACTTACTTGCCTTGGCCAGGGGAGATGCTGGGAGACTTGGAAGGGGAGCAAGAGCTGGGCAGTTGGGGATTAGATGTGTTAATGGTTTTGTTTCATATGGATAAGCCTCATTACACAATAATGACTTGTGTAAAGAGAGGTTTAATCTTCTCTCCTTTCCCTCCACAAAGGGAGCGGGAGAGTCCAGCTTTCAGGCCTGTTCTCCGAGCTCACCAGCCTGCATTGTCCTCTCTTCCTTAACCTCTGCTCAGATGGCCCAGCAACCCCAGTTTCCTATTCCCAGAGTGCCTGATGGGGAACTGTCAGTACACCCAGCTCCAGGTGGGTGCTTCCTGCCGGCTCTGGGATCTGGGAGGGGAAGAGCAGTGAGTGCAGGCGTGGGTGCCCATCAGCAGCAGCTCTACACCTCGTGCTACCCCTCTGCATCACCCACAGCGAGCTCTGCACGGCCTCTTGCCTCTCCTTGGCAGAAGCCACCCAAACCAGCAGCTTCCCAGGCACTGCAGTTTGTTCTGGGCTCCCCTTGGTGCTGCAATCCGAGGTCAGATGTGAGCTGTGATCTTCCCAAGCTCTCCTCTCCCACGTCTCCCTTGTGGAGATGATGGGCTGGAAGCTTGTCCTGCAGCTGAAACAGGCTGCAAGGAATGATGCTTTTGGAGAGTGGAGAATGGCTTCGGTTGGAAGGGAGCTTAAAGCTCCTGCAGTTCCAACCCCCTGCGGCAGGGACACCTTCCACTGGAGCAGCTTGCTCCAAGCCCCATCTAACCTGGCCTTGAGCACTGCCAGGGATGGAGCAGTGTCTCTGTTACAGCTATCACAGCATTAGTGTAGTGAGCAGCCCACAGGTAGCAAATCTCCTCCATCTCCCTCCTGCATCTGTCTTGTTCCCTGCAGTGCCCACCTCTGCTCACACAAGGCTTTCTGCTCAGCGTCTCAAATCCAGACAAAGCCACAGGGAGTTTGCTGGGGAATGACTTTAGATGTTTCTCTGGTGCTTTCCTTTCTATGTTTTCAAGACAAACCCAGACAGGAGTGCTCAGGATCACTGTACCCTTCCCATGGAGGAGTTCAGCCTCCTAGGGCTTCTCTTCCCTGTGTGCAAGGAGCATCCTGGTGGAGCTTGGTTAACTGCCACAGGGAGCCCTTAGTACAGCAGCTCCCGGTGTGCCCACATCCTTTCCTGTGCTGCCCTTCCAAATGGGTTGCCCCCAGGGCTGGGGGGGTTCACAAGGCTCTGTCTTCAACCCGGGTGCTGCTCCAGGACTCAGCTCTGCCTTAAATGTCCTTAGTAGTAAAAACACAGCTTAAGGAGCATCCATCATCTTCCCAAGCCTCTGGGGGGAGCAGGAGTGAACTCCTTTGCCTCAGGTGCCTCTGCAGGCTGCTGTATTTCGGGTCACTGTCCCTCCATCATCTCCCGTGTGCTCCCCAGGGGCTGGGTCCTCGTGCTCCAGTTGGGAAGCTCACGATCCCGTGGCTGCAGCTCCATGTGACACGGCGCTGCGCCCAGTCCTTGAGCCTGTGGTGCAGGCTGCTCTTACTGAGATGCTTTCTCCCGTGCTTTCCAGACCCTTTTCTTCTCCCAGCCCCTTTCCCACCTGGGGGCTGAATGACTTCCTTTTGTGCCACCGAGAAGAATGGCAAATGGGCTTTGGAGGCAGGAAATGCTTTGGGGGCAGCTTCCTTCCCCCTCCTTTGAATTGCCTTGCATTGCTTTCACCTCACTTGCGGCCCTCCTCGAGGAGGTACAGGAGGCTTTTATCTCTGCAGGAGCAAGCTCTCCCTCCTCCCCACTGCCTTCTGTTCCACTCGCTGATCCCACGACGTGGATTAAGTGCTTTGACCTCCGGGAGCTAACCCCAGCTTTGCACCGTGACCCACATAGAGGGGGCCATGCAGGCAGCCCCCGTGCCCAGGGAAGGGCCAGGAACCAAAGCAGTGCCCTGGGACGAGGGCCAGGCCTCTCCCTGGGGCTGGTTCTGTGGGCCAAGCTGATGAGCAAGCTCAGGGTGGGATTTATCTGCTGGAGCTGGCTAATGTGGGGGCTCAGTGGGGGCTTGGAGGGGCTGCGTGCTGGGGGCTGACTGCACATGCAGAGGGGCAGGTTGGCCTGCGAGACCTTGCCTTTGCTGCTGGGTTCTGGCCTCTCCTCCTTTCCTCTAAGCCCCTGCTAGTGGGACATTGCTGGTGCTTCACATGCCAAGAGCATCCGCTGCTGTCCCAGGGATGCCAGCTTTGGAGCTGTCACCGTGCCTCCTCGCTGCCTATGGATCCCTGATGGCACTTGGCAGCCCTTACGTTGTGCTGGCAGAGCAGGCAGCTTGTGTCAGCTCAGCCTGGCCAGTGCCTGTGGTGTGGTGCCACCAATGCTCCACCTCATCCCTGCCTGTGCTGCTGCAATCCGTGCTCTCCCGTGGCTGCTCTCCCTCTGCGGCCCTGCTGCAGGCTCTGCTCCTCTTAACGCCTTCTCTGCCCGTTGTTCCTCTGCCTCCACACACCTGCAGCCAGGTTCATGCTCTGTTCCCCTGCAGCGAGTTTGCAGTGGCTGCAGAGCATCATGTGTGGCTTTAGGGGGCTGTTTCGGAGGCTCTAACTTGTGGATGCTGGAGCTCTTTGGAGCAGGTTGTTTCCCAGCAGCATGGGGGGGGGGGGGGGGGGGGGTCCTCCATGCACTCCAGGGGCTTTGGGGCTGGGAAAACCAGCCCTCGAGCTGGAAGAGTGGGAATTCTGTGAGCACAGCAGCTAAAGGAGCCACCAAATTAGCACTTTGGTGTTAGAGACCTAACCCTTCCTCTGGTCCTGGGTGCCTGCAGGTCACAAGGGAGGGCTTACCTGAAGGATAGAACCATAGAATGGGTTGGGTCGGGAGGGACCTTAAAGCTCCTCCAGCTCCAACCCCTGCCACGGGCAGGAACCCCTTCCACTAGAGCAGTTTGCTCCAAGCCCCATCCAACCTGTCTCCCATTCCCCCTCTCCCATAGGAATACATTCGCCTCCTGCAGCCATGGTGCCACGTGAACATGGGCTCCTGCTGCTTCATGATGGGCAGGTGCTACCTGGTCATGGGTGAGGGCCACAAGGTAAGGATCTCATCTCCTTCCCTCCCTCCAGCTCTGCCTCCCTCTGGGATCTGGGCCTGCTTCCCTTGGGAGGCAGCTGGTGCACAGGTAGGAGCAGCCTTGCTTCTGCTGTGCAAGTCAGGAACCATCATCCCCAGCTCTGCTGCCTGCAGGCAAAGGATGGGATTGGAGGGAGGGGGTGGTGGGACCTGCTCTTGGGGATGTTCTTGCTAGCATGGGGCCAGGAGGTCTCATGCAGTGGAGCTGGAGCAGGCGGCAGCGTCCTCTCGCTGGTACAGGAGGCTGGGTCAGCCCCAGGGGACACACACGAGCTGCTTTCTGGTCTGCTTCTAGGCTTTGGATTGCTTCTGCCAGGCTGCCTCGGAGGTGGGGAGAGAAGAGTTCTTGGACAGGCTGATCCAGCCTGAGGAGGGGGAGATGGTCTCCACTCCACGCCTGCAGTACTACAGCAAGGTAGGGCCGAGCCGGCTCCATGTGCATGATCCTGACCAAGTAAACTGGCACCAGGGCCTTGCACACACACACACTGCTTGGAGAGGGAGTTCCTGCTCAGTCCCTGGCTTCCAAAGAGGTGACTTCAGCCTCAAAACCCCTCTTTGTTGGTGAAACCTCTGTTTGCTTTCTCTGGGGGAGCATGAGGAGGGGACTGCAGTGAAAGCCAGGTACTTTCCACCTATTGGCTTCCTAATAGCAGAGGACTTTGTTACCCAGCAGGAAAAGGCAGGGCGAGATCCAGCTGCTGGAGGCAGAAGCCAGGCATGTCCAGGCTCGACGGGAGATGCTGCTTAAGGGGAAGGTTATTAAGCTTTGTGGCAAGTGCAAATGAATGTCTGTGAGTTAGGATAAGATCTTCGTGCCTAATGCCATAGAGCAGACAGGCTGCAAGCTTGGACCCGGCTCCTTGTGAAGGACTCCCTGCCTTTCACATCCAGGAAGGGTTGTCAGGTGTCCCTGGAACCACATCCATCCCTGTTCCAGTCTAAACACTGCCAACTGCTTGCTCTCGTGGTAGGCAGGGACAGGAGCAGCTCTTGTAACAGCCCAGCGAAACCAAGCTAACGCAGAGGCCTGTTGTCTTCTGCAGGTTCTGTGCTTGCTGGACATGGTGGGTTTGCCAGAGCTGGTCATCCAGCTGGCCACCCTGGCCATCATGGAGTCAGCGGATGACTGGAGGAGCCAGGTACAGGGCACTGCTTTGGCATCAGTGCGTCTCTTTAGGGAGCTCCCAAAGGGATTCTCATCAGTTTGATCGCTCAGAACGTGCTGGTTTATGTTCTTTTGGTGTTTCCAGGCTACTTTGAGGACTTGCATCTTCAAACATCACTTGGATTTGGGACACAACAGCGAAGCATATGTAGCCCTAACGCAAAACCCCGATCCGGGCAGGTAGGCGATAGCTTCAGGACCTTCATACTCACTTGTCTCAGGGGTCCATGTACCACTTTTCCCCCTCAGGCTGAAAGGAAGATGACACTTGAGGGCAGGATGTGGCTGCTGCTGCTGCTTTAAGAGGTTCTGCTTAGTGCCTGGGAAGGTCTGCTGGGAAGGCTTTTAAGGCTATCTGGGGTGGGCAGTATCCCAAAGGAAGGTGCTTCAGGGAAGAGCCACAAGGGTGGCTCAAGGGTTGCATGTTGGAAAGCTTCAGGAGTGCAGGCAATTCAGGTGGGTAAGGAAGAGAGCTGAAATGTCAGCTCGAGCTCCATCTGAGCAGAGGCAGCTTCCCCCTAACGGGAGGATGCGCTGAGTGGGAACGGCTGGGACAGGCTTTTTAGTTGAGGCTGAAGAATGGATCTTACCCAGGCAGAGCTGAGGAGGGATGAGACACTGCCCTCCAGCGAGCCCTTTGCAGAGAGCATCCAGGACCTCTCCTTTCCAGCGCTGCAGGAGCCTGAAGGGGATTTATTGGTTCGGAGCCAGCCAAGAACCCTGTGGAGCTTGTCAGCCAGCCGGGGGTTCCTGGCTCCGAGCCTGCAGATGGCACTGGTGCTGTGCTCTTCCCCTGCAGGCAGCTGGACTGTCTACGCCAGCTAGTGGTGGTGCTGTGCGAGCGCTCCCAGCTCCAGGACCTGGTGGAATTCCCTTACGTGAACCTCCACAACGAGGTAACCCCGGCGCTGGGCAGGGGAGGGCTCCTTTTCCACAGGGTTTTAACCCAGTTGAGCCTCTCGGGTGCTGCAGGTGGTGGGCATCATCGAATCTCACGCTCGGGCCGTCGACCTGATGACCCACAACTACTATGAGCTGCTTTATGCTTTCCACATCTACCGCCACAACTACCGCAAGGGTGAGCTCAGGCTGGGCCCTTGGAATGCTCCCCCCCACCCCGGTCCTGGGGTGGGCTGGCCCCACGCTGATGCCTTCCCCTTCCCTCCTCAGCTGGCACGGTGATGTTTGAGTACGGGATGCGCCTGGGCAGGGAGGTGCGGACGCTGCGGGGGCTCCAGAAGCAAGGCAACTGTTTCCTTGCTGCTGTCAACTGCCTGCGGTTGATCCGGCCGGAATACGCCTGGATAGTGCAGCCAGCTCCTGGAGCAGTGGTAGGAAAAGCCCTGAGCTTGCTGTGGGCTGTGGCAAGGGGTGGGCCTGGATGAGCTTCAGGCCCCTTCCAATCCGTTCCGTGGTTCCATATGAGCTGTTGAATGCGGGATGGGTTTGGGAAGGAGCTTCCAAGACCCTTTTGGTTGGGAGCGAAGGCACTGACCACCTTCACCTGCTGCTCTCCTCCTCTTGGCCGGCATGGGCAGCACTGCCTTGTGCTGCTCAACGTTCCCTGCGTCACCCTTGTGTCACTGTGTGGAAGCAGAGCAACTTCTGGGAGAGGGTTGGTGTGCGTGTGGAACCCCAGCCCGGTTTGGGTTGGATGAAGGGAGCTTAAAGCTCCCCCAGCTCCAACCCCAACCCCTTCCACTGGAGCAGCTTGCTCCAAGCCCCTGTGTCCAACCTGGCCTTGAGCACTGCCAGGGATGGGGCAGCCACAGCTTCTCTGGGCACCCTGTGCCAGCGCCTCAGCACCCTCACAGGGAGGAGCTTCCTGACATCTGGAACCAGGCTGTGCCATAAACCTCTCTCTGCTTTCCCCTGCAAGTACGAGCGCCCCGGAGCATCCCCAAAGAGAAGCCACGACGGGGAGTGCGCGGCTGTGCCAAGTAAGTGTCCGCTCCTGGTGCTTCCTCTGGGCCCACAGCCTCTGCCCTGGCCTCAGAGCTCTGCTGCTCCCCTCTGAGGGGGGAGATGGCTCAGGGCAGCTCAGCTCAATGATATGGGGGGAGGTTGTAGCTTAGGTACCGCACTCCAGGTTCCCTGCAGCCCCTTTAGGCACTGGGGCTGCTCTCAGGTCTCCCCTTCAGGAGCCTTCTCTTGTCCAGGCTGAACACTCCCCTGCAGCTTTATGTGCTGCCTTCCCTCCCTTTTGCTTTCCGTGGTAATAACTTGTAATTAAACCCAATGGAAAAGCCTTTAAGAGGCAATTCCTGGTTGGTCAAGCCCTTGTTCCTTGGCAACCCTGGCGTTGGCAGTGAGTGCCTGCTGTAGGGTCTGTGCTCGGTGTCTGCCCGAGCTCGGGATGCTGGCAGCAGGTTCGCTTTGTGGTGGAGCAGGAGAATTTCAGGTCAGGTATTTTTAAACCAATTCTTTCTGTCTGAGCTGCTTTGTAGCAGCTCCTGGCAGCCGAGCAGGGGCTGTGCCCAGCCACCAGCTCACATCTGGAACAGAGCACGAGTCATGCCGCGGAGACAGACCCACTTTCAGACATCAAATCCTGACCCTGCCTTCAGTGCTTTCCCTGCTGCAGCTCCTCGAAGGCTGGCAGAAGGCTGCAGGCATTCAGCAGGATGCCCACAGAGCTCTGTTTTTCAGTGCTGAGAGCTTCCATGTGTTGCAGCAAGTCGCCAGATCGACATCCTGGAGCTGGAGGACCTGGAGAAGGAATGTGTGCTGTCCCGCATCCGGCTGACGCTGGTGCAGCATGACCTGTCCACAGCGGCTGTGGCAGGTAAGAGGGACACTGCAGCCACCTCTGCTTCCCCCGAGGTGCTTCCAGTGCTTCCAGTCCCAGCTCCGTGTGCTTCCAACCCAGAGACAAAGGGAGGAGCTGGCAGGGAGCCTTCAGATCCCCTCCCTGCTACGGAACCTTGCCTCTGGCTTCAGCAGAGCAGGGGAACCAGCTTTAGCTCTTCCCCCATCTTTTGGCTTTGGTTTGCAGCGTGGGGTTATGCTCATGAGTCGGGACAAAAAGGCTTGGAGATCTGGATGGAAATTGCCCCCCAGGTGAAGCAGGATTGGAAAGCCTTAGAAAAACCCCACTTGCTGCAAGGCAAATCCGTGTCCTGGGCAATTCTGCTTCACCAGGGTGTTAGGTTGCCAAACCGGTTCTCTTTTGGGGGAGCAGAAAGCTGCAGCTCTCCCACCCTGACCCTCTGCGTGTGTTCTGCCACTCTCTGTACGGGTTACACAACGTGCCCGTGGTTTTTCCCCTTTAAGTATGAGGAGGAGATGACTTCCCAGTGATGGAGGCACAAGTTGAGTTTCATCTCCTCCTGCCTCTGCCTGTGCTGGCAGAGCTGAGCTGATGAGCTCTGTCGGACACAGGCTATGGTGCCCATGTCCTCCCCCAGCCTGTGCCTCAGCAGAGCTGGCTCCGTGGGTCACTGCTGCTTAACTGCAGCCCCCCCAGGCCTCATGAGATGCTCCTGAGGCCAAGAAAGCCTCAGGGTGGTTTACACTGGCCCATTACCACGGTGCTGTTGTAACTGCAGCTGCATTGCATGGGGTTGGGCCCCCAGTAAGCAGCGGGGCGTGACAGGGAGAGGTGTTTTCCTGCTCCTCCTCCTTGCTCCCCATCCTCCTTTTTCCCCCAGGCAATTCCACACCCGAGGAAACGGTTGCTCTCCTGGTGCGGGCCGGGCTCTTCGACACGGCCATCACTCTGTGCCAAACCTTCAAGCTGCCTTTGACACCCATCTTTGAGGGACTCACCTTCAAGTAGGTAGCAGGCTTCTCCCACCCACCTCAGGTGATGCACACGTGCTCCGTGATGCTCATAGGGTGCAGTTTGCAGCCCCTGGGCATTAAAAGCTGATGCTGTCCTCACCTTCTCCTTGCCGTGGCTGCTAACGACCACATGGCAGCAGCCAGTGTAGGGGGTTTGGGGTGGAACTTGCTCTTTCACACCTCGAAAGTGAAGATAAGGGAGCCTTGGTGATCAGGTTGGGATGGGAGAGAGGTCACCTTGGTCTCAAGGGTGAGAGCTGGCATCTGATGGTCGCAGTGATCCCAGCCCAGCCACAGCCAGTACCTGGAGCCCTTGCTGGTGCGTTGGCTCATGGCACCTCCTGCTGATGCTCACAGGAGATGCATCCAAGCTGCTGGGCAGCTCTCAGAGCAGAGCACTTGGCTCCGGTGTCAGGTCTCTGTGCTGGCCCTTTGCTCTCGTGCCCCATCTTGACCCCAGGATTCCTCCTGTGCACCAAGCTCTGCTGTGACCTGGTCCTGTGGCTGACTGCATGGAGGACACCTCCTACCCAAGCCCCAAAGCTTCCTAACATGAATTCCCCTGTAACACCTGGAGCAGCTTGGGAATCACTCTAACAGCCACCTTTCCCTGCCAGGGCAGCTCGTTCGTGGCTGCTGCTTGGGAATAGCCCTGCCAAGGGGTGGTTCTGCCGCTGGCAGCTGTGGCTGGGGGGGCTCTGAGGGCAGCACCCCCCTTTGCATTGCTCTGCCTACAGGTGCATCAAGCTGCAGCTGGGAGGGGAAGCAGCGCAGGCAGAGGCCTGGGAGTGGTTAGCAGCAAACCAGCTCTCTGCCCTGGTTACCACCAAGGAGTCCAGGTAAGGCCTTGTCTGGTGGGGGCAGAGAAGAGCTCCCAGCGCTGCTCTCCGTGGTGCAGAGGGCCACAGGGCCATAAACCCCCATAAAGCAGACCTGTGGGGCTGGGACATGGGGAGATCCATGTCCCGTGCTGTCAGCCTGCTCCCGTCATGGGACCTCGGGCAGCAGGCCAGGGGACAGGAGCTGCTGGCACGGGTTCCAAGGGGAAACCCTGCCCTTGCAGTGCCACAGATGAAGCCTGGCGCCTGCTCTCATCCTATCTGGAGCGGTACCCGTCCCAGAACAGCCTGTACCATCGCTGTGTCATCAACAAGCTCCTGGCACACGGCATCCCTCTGCCCAACTGGCTCATCAACAGCTACAAGGTGACACGAGGGATGGGGGACGCTGCTCCGCACATCCCATCTGCTGCCCCTCGCTGTCCTCGGTGGAGCTCCGTTCCCATTCCCAGCCCCAGGAAGCCTTGTGCCCATTCCTGAGGCTCGGAGCAGGTTCCTCCAGCGTCGTGGTGGCTCCGGGGTGGGTGCCCTGGTTGATGGTTCCCCCTTTGCTCACAGGAGGTGGATGCTGCCCAGCTCCTGCGGCTCTATCTCAACTATGACCTGCTGGAGGAGGCGGTGGATTTGGTCCTGGAGTACGTGGATGCTGTGCTGGGCAAAGGGCACCGGTACTTTGGAATCGAGGTGAGGCTTTGGGATGTGCTGGAGCCTTCCCTGGGGCACATCCTGCGAGGGCTTGGGAGCTGCTGCGAGGGCTGGAGCAGCTCTGCCATGGAGCCAGGCTGAGGGAGCTGGGCTGGTTCAGCCTGGAGAAGAGAAGGCTCCTGAAGGGGAGACCTGAGAGCAGCTCCAGTGCCTAAAGGGGCTGCAGGGAACCTGGAGAGGGGCTTGGGACAAGGGCCTGTAGGGACAGGCCAAGGGGAATGGCTTGAACCTGCCCGAGGGGAGACTGAGATGAGCTCTGAGGCAGAAGCTCTTCCCTGTGAGGGTGCTGAGGCGCTGGCACAGGGTGCCCAGAGAAGCTGTGGCTGCCCCATCCCTGGCAGTGCTCAAGGCCAGGTTGGACACGGGGGCTTGGAGCAAGCTGCTCCAGTGGAAGGGGTCCCTGCCCGTGGCAGGGGGTTGGAGCTGGAGGAGCTTTAAGCTCCCTTCATTTGTTAGGAATGCCATCCAGAGGGACCTCAACCCGCCTGTGAGCTGGGCTGATGCCAACCTCATGAAGTTTAACCATGGCAAGTGCAAGGTCCTACACCTGGGTCAGAGCAATCCCAGGCACAGCTACAGGTTGGGCAGAGAAGAGATTGAGAGCAGCCCAAGGAGAAGGACTTGGGGGTGTTGGTTGATGAGAAAATGAACATGAGCCGGCTTCAGTGTGCGCTCACAGCCCAGAAACCAACCGTGTCCTGGGCTGCATCCAAAGCAGCGTGACCAGCAGGTCCAAGGAGGTGATCCTGCCCCTCTGCTCTGCTCTCGTGAGACCTCACCTGGAGCATTGTGTGCAGTTCTGGGGTCCTCAACATAAAAAGGACATGGAACTGTTGGAACAAGGCCAGAGGAGGCCACGAGGATGCTCAGGGGCTGGAGCACCTCCTGTATGGAGACAGGCTGAGAAAGTTGGGGCTGTTCAGCCTGGAGAAGAGAAGGCTGCGGGGAGACCTCAGAGCAGCTTCCAGTGTCTGAAGGGGGCCTATAGGGATGCTGGGGAGGGACTCTTCATTAGGGACTGCAGTGACAGGACAAGGGGTAACGGGTTCAAACTGAAACAGGGGAAGTTTAGATTGGATCTAAGGAGGAAATTCTTCACTGTGAGGGTGCTGAGGCACTGGAATGGGTTGCCCAGGGAGGTTGTGAATGCTCCATCCCTGGCAGTGTTCAAGGCCAGGCTGGACAGAGCCTTGGGTGCCATGGTTTAGTGTGAGGTGTCCCTGCCCATGGCAGGGGGTTGGAACTGGATGATCTTAAGGTCCTTTCCCACCCTGACTATTCTATGTTTCATCCCAACCCACCCCATGTCTCTGTTGTGCCCGTGAGGGTGCTTCCAGGACAAACGGATGTGGACCCCCCCCCCCCATTAGATGCCAGGGGACCTCCTGGCAGGCCCCGGTGCTGCCAGGCCCTGGTGTTCAGGAGCTGTGCCCGTGGTGAGGAGCGTTTCTGCTGCCACTGCACCCCAATGCTCCCTCTGTGTGTGTGTGTCCCCCCAGTTCCCACTCTCAGCCACGGCCCCCATGGTGTGGCTGCCCTACACCGCCATCGACCAGCTGCTGCAGGCGCTGCGGGAGAGCACCACCAACCACCACAGCGTGGAGGTAGGACCGACCCCTTCCCTATGGGGCACCCCATGGTGCCCCCCCCCCCTCCGGCGCTGGGGGGTGTGGAGCAGGAGAAAAGGGGGGCCAGGGGGGAGCCCTCACGTCCTGCTCTGTGCCCTGGCCCAGCTCTACCAGAAGCTCTCGGAGAAGATGGAGGACTACCAGCAGAAGGTGAGCGTGGCCACCCGGGACCGCCTGTACCGCCGCAGCTAGAGCCAGCCCCATAGCCCACGCCTGCAGGGGTAAACGGGGGGGGCTGGCTCAGCCCCTGGTGCTGTGCACACTCCTCCTGTCCCCATCACCATCAGGTTTGAGGATGGGGGGTGTCACCTCTACCCTGTCCCTCATGGGGGTGATGAGCAGGGCCGGGGGGTGCCGCCGTTGTTCCCCCCCCTCCTCCCTGTGCCGTCCCCTCGCTGTTATTTATTTGGTGTGGTTTTGGTTAATAAACTCCAAGTGTTGCTACAGGTTTGTGTCCTGCACCCGCAGCCCGGCGGTGGTACCGCCGTGCCCCACGGCGCTATAGGGTAAGGGGCTATATAGCCCCTAAGGGATGGATTATGCTATAGCGAGGGGGGGGGGGGGGGGGGGGGTACAGCTCTGAAGGGCAGGATTGGGTTATAGGGCCGGCATGGAGCTATAGGCTCAAGTGGCAGCACCATACTCTAGGGGCTATAGGCTAAGGGGGGAGGCGTTGTGCTATAGGGCAATGATGGAGCCGATAGGTTTGAGTGCCAGGAGTGGGGCTATGGGGCAGATAGGACTGGAAGAGGGCTATAGGCTCCTAGGTCAGCACTGCTCTAGGGCAGGGATGGGGCTATAGGCTCCCAGGGTGGCACTGTGCTATAGGGCAAGAGAGCCACTATAGAACCACAGGGCAGGGATGGAGCTATAAGCTCAGGGGCCAGTACTGTGCTCCAGGACAGGAACGGGGCTATAGGACTGGAGGGGGCCTATAGGGGAGGAACAGAGCTATATGTTCACAGGATAGCAGTGTGTTACAGCGCATGCATGGGACCTGCAGGTTCAGGGGGCAACACTATGCTATAGGGCAGGTGGGGGTCTATATGACGGGCTGGGCCTATAGGACAGGGATGGGGTCTGTAAGTCAGGACAGAGGTCTGTAGGGCAGAGGCTATAAACCCAAGGTATCTATAGGGCAGGGCTGAGACTATAAGCCCAGGGTGTCTATAGGGCAGGGATGGGTCTCTAACCCCAAGGTGTCTATAGGGCAGGGATGGCTCTATAGGGGAGGGTTGAGGCTATAAACCCAAGATGTCTATAGGGCAGCGATGGCTCTATAGGGGAAGCCTGAGGCTATAAACCCAGGGTGTCTATAGGGCAGGGATGGGTCTATAACCCCAAGGTGTTTATAGGGTAGGGATGGATCTATAGGGGAGCACCAGGTCTATAGGGCAGGGCTGAGACTATAAACCCAGGGTGCCTATAGGGCAGGGATGGGTCTCTAACCCCAAGGTGTTTATAGGGCAGGGATGGCTCTATAGGGGAGGGTTGAGGCTATAAACCCAAGATGTCTATAGGGCAGCGATGGCTCTATAGGGGAGGGCTGAGGCTATAAACCCAATGTGTCTATAGGGCAGGGATGGCTCTATAAACCCAAGGTGTCTATAGGGCAGGGACAGGTCTATAGGGCAGGGATGGGTTTATAAACCCAGGGTGTCTATAGGGCAGGGATGGCTCTATAAACCCAAGGTGTCTATAGGGCAGGGACGGGTCTATAGGGCAGGGATGGGTTTATAAACCCAGGGTGTCTATAGGGCAGGGATGGCTCTATAAACCCAAGGTGTCTATAGGGCAGGGACGGGTCTATAGGGCAGGGATGGGTTTATAAACCCAGGGTGTCTATAGGGCAGGGATGGGTTTATAAACCCAAGGTGTCTATAGGGCAGGGACGGGTCTATAGGGCAGGGATGGGTTTATAAACCCAGGGTGTCTATAGGGCAGGGATGGCTCTATAGGGCAGGGATAGCTCTATAAATCCAAGATGTCTATAGGGCAGGGATGGGTCTATAGGGCAGGGATGGCTCTATAAACCCAAGGTGTCTATAGGGCAGGGATGGCTCCATAAACCCAACGTATCTCGGGCAGGGGCAGCCCTATAGGGGAGGATCGGGTCTATAGGGTACCTACAGCTGCCTCCATAACCCCACCCGTGTGGGCGGAGCTCAGCGAAGCCCCTCCCCTTGACGTCACGACGCCGTACGTCCCTCCCTCCCTCCCTCGTCGTCTTCTTCCTCCGCCGCCGCCATGGGCAAGAAGTCCCGCTCGGCGCCGTGCCGCCGGCCCATCCTCCAGCTCTCCCCTCCGGGCCCTCGCCGGGACGAGCCCGCGGCTCCCGCGGCCCCCGAGGGACCGGACTCCGGTTCCGAACCGGGTAAAGGGGGAACCGGGAAGCGGCGGTGATGGGGAAAGGAAAGGGGGGGGGTAGCGCTTTGTTACCGCGGCCTATGGAGGCCTCGCCGCGGCCTAAGGCGGTGGGGGGGGGAAGGCGGGGGGAAGGGGGGGGAACGCGGGGGTACCCCCGCGTTCCCCCCCCTTCCCCCCGCCTTCCCCGGCCCCTTTGCACCCCCTTTTAACCCCCCACCCCCGTCTCCCCTTCCACAGACGAACCCGAAGCCCTCACCGCACACCCAGCGCCCCCCGCCGTCAAGCCCACAGGTAACGCTCGTTTCCTGAGGTAAAATGAAGGGAAAACCGCCCCAAAATGGGTTTTCCAACTGGTTTTACACAGGGAGCGCAGCCCTTTGCTCGAAAAGAGGGTTTTTTACCTCATAAATGCGGTTTTTAATCACTTTAGGGTGTTTAATATGGGGGGGGGTGGTTGTACCCCTTTAACTGCCCTGTTAAATTAACCCCATCCTGAACGCCTTACTGTTAGGGTGCCAGCGTCATTTGAATCGCTTTGGGGGTTTATTCCCCTTGTGGGGTCATTTCTTAGCCTCATTACCCCATTTCTTACAGGGTTCCCCACAGGTAACGCTTGTTTCCTGAGGTAAAATGAAGGGAAAACCGCCCCAAAATGGGTTTTTCCAACCGGTTTTACGCAGGGAACAGCTGTATTGCTCGAAAAGAGGGGTTTTTCCCCTCATAAATGCGGTTTTTAATCACTTTAGGGTGTTTAATATGGGGGGGTGTGGTTGTACCCCTTTAACTGCTTTGTTAAATTAACCCCATCCTAAATGCCTTACTGTTAGGGTGCCAGCATCATTTGAATCGCTTTGGGCGTTTATTCCCCTTGTGGGGTCACTTCTTAGCCTCATTACCCCATTTCTTACAGGTTTAGGGTGAGGATCCCATTTAACTCCATTCAGGATGCTATCGAGTGATTCCACCCCCTTATTTTGGGGGGGGAATAGGGGTTTTACCCCCACTTTGCTGTTTCTCAAGGCTGTGGTGTGATGTTATATCCTCTCTTTAAATCATAGAATAGTTACGGTTGGAAAGGACCTGATGCTTTCTTCCCTTAAAAATGCAGATAATGGGATAGTTTTCCACCCAGTGTGTTTTTATAGAATCATAGAATAGTTAGGGTTGGGAAGGAGCTTAAGATCATCCAGTTCCAACCCCCCTGCCATGGGCAGGGACACCTCACACTAAACCATGGCACCCAAGGCTCTGTCCAACCTGGCCTTGAACACTGCCAGGGATGGAGCATTCACAACTCCCTGGGCAACCCATTCCAGTGCCTCAGCACCCTCACAGGAAAGAATTTCCTCCTTAGATCCAATCTAAACTTCCCCTGTTTCAGTTTGAACCCGTTACCCCTTGTCCTGTCACTGCAGTCCCTAATGAAGAGTCCCTCCCCAGCATCCCTATAGGCCCCCTTCAGACACTGGAAGCTGCTCTGAGGTCTCCCCGCAGCCTTCTCTTCTCCAGGCTGTTATTCCTGCTGGGAATAACAAGTGGTACTCTTTTTCCTTACCTATTACTTTTATTGCCTACTATTAATCCTTAAATCACAGAATCCCGGCCTGGTTTGGGATGAAGGGACCTTAAAGCTCCTCTGGCTCCAGCCCCAATCTCTTCCACTGGAGCAGCTTGCTCCAAGCCCCTGTGTCCAACCTGCCCTTGAGCACTGCCAGGGATGGGGCAGCCACAGCTTCTCGGGGCACCCTCACAGGGAAGAGCTTCTGCCTTATCTCCAACCTGAACTCCCCCTGTTCCAGTCTGAGCCCATCACCCCCTGTCCTATTGCTCCAGTCCCTGATGAAGAGTCCCTCTCCAGCATCCTACTGAACTCAAAATACAGTGATGTTCTGAGCAGTGATTCCCCCTCCATGGTTTGCAGGCAGGATATGATTCCCCCCCCCCCTTTTATTTTTCCAGGGCTGGGGAATTCTTTTCTCTTCCCAGTTTCGTTGGGATTTTTACCACCCAAGGAATGCGTTTCCCATTCCCAGTGCGGCTGGGGGCTGTTCCCTTTTGCATTTTGGGGGTCAGGAGCTATCCCTGCCTTTAATGGGGAGGAGCCGCTGAGGATCCCTCGCTCTGCCTTCCCCAGGCGGTCTGTGCCTGCTCGGTGCCTATGCAGACAGTGACGATGAGGAGGGTGAGACCCCAGAGAAGCCTTCCCGTTCCGTGGATGCCAATGGCAGCAATTCCTCGGATATCGACAGCACCTTGGCCAACTTCCTGGCGGTGAGTGCAGCTCCAGGGGGGAGCTCCGTGCTCTGCGGTGCTGAGCTCCGCTCTCGCCTCCTTTGGGATCAGAACCTGACCATGGGGCTGTTGTTTCCCCAGGAGATCGATGCCATCACGGCTCCCCCGCAGCCCGCAGAGCCCGCTGCAGTCTCAGCCTCCTCCTCCTCTTCCTCTGTGCTTCCCCCCACACCTCCCCGCCCGGAGCCCAAGGACCCAGGCTCAGGGCAGCCCTCGGGCACAGCCAATGGTGCTGATCCTGGGCCTGTGCAGGAGTGGCAGTATGACACCCAGTGCTCCCTGGCTGGAGGTGAGGCCCTCATCCACCCTGCGGAGCATGGCCCTGCTGGGAGGGGGCAAGTGGGTGTCACTGGGGGAAGAAAGGGAGGGTGGCAGTAGAAACATAGAACTAGAGAATGGGTTGGGTTGGAAGGGAGCTTAAAGCTCCTCCAGCTCCAACCCCGACCCCTTCCACTGGAGCAGCTTGCTCCAAGCCCTTGTGTCCAACCTGGCCTTGAGCACTGCCAGGGATGGGGCAGCCACAGCTTCTCTGGGTACCCTGTGCCAGCGCCTCAGCACCCTCACAGGGAAGAGCTTCTGCCTTATCTCCAACCTGAACTTCCCCTGTTTCGGTTTGAACCCATCACCCCTTGTCCTATTACTCCAGTCCCTGATGCAGGGTCCCTCTCCAGCATCCTTGTAGCCCCCTTCAGACACTGGAAGCTGCTCTGAGGTCTCCACACTACCCCAATGTTCTCAGCCTGGCTCCATACGGGAGCTGCTCCAGCCCCTGAGCATCCTCGTGGCCTCCTCTGGCCTTGCTCCAACAGCTCCATGGCCTCTTTATGCTGGGGGCACCAGCCCTGCCCCCGGTGGGGTCTCACAGAGCAGAGGGGCAGGATCACCTCCCTGGGAGCTGATGGGGTCGGTGTTGTGCTGTGGATCCCATCCTGTCCTTGTCCCTGGCAGTGGGGGAGCTGGAGATGGGTGACTGGCAGGAGGTGTGGGATGAGAACACAGGCTGCTACTACTACTGGAACACCCAGAGCAACGAGGTGACCTGGGAGCTGCCCCAGTACCTGGCCACGCAGGTCCAGGGCCTGCAGCACTACCAACACAGGTCGGTGACCCCCCCGCCAGACCCTATGGGGGGACCTGTGGGGATGTCGTCCCTATTCCTGCCCTTCACAGCCTCTCCTCTTCCTCAGCAGCACCGTGGCAGGTGCCAACGGTGGCTTCGTAGCAGCGGCTGAGGTGTACCCCCAGGAGAAGGGGGTCGGCCGGGGGCCCCCCATCACCAAGCGGGAGGTGAAGAAGGTGAGTCAGGTGTGCTCAGCACCGGGGTCTGGTGGCCACGGCATGGAGATGCCCTTTGGGCTTGCTCCGTGGTGGGCCGCAGCTCAAAAAGAGGTGCCCCATCACCACGGGCTCCTTCCTCTGTGGGGCTGGCGTGAGGGGCTGGGAGCTGCTGGCAGCTCACTGTGGGGTTTGACCCGCAGGAGGTGAATGAGGGTGTTCAGGCCCTCTCCAACAGCGAGGAGGAGAAGAAAGGGGTGGCCGCAGCCCTCCTGGCACCGCTCGTGCCCGATGTGGTGAAGGAGGAAGAGGAGCGGTGGAGGAGGAAGGTGATCTGCAAAGAGGAAGTGGAGCCCCCTCCAGAAGAGGAGGCGAAAGCAGAAGAGGCTCCGGCCGCTCCGGAAGAGCCGGAGCCCAGCAGGGATCCCCTCCTGGAAGACCCGCTCCAGGAGGAGCTGTGCAGCGTGGTGCAGTCAGGGGAGAGCGCTGAGGAGGAGGAGGAGGAGGAACAGGACACCCTCGAGCTGGAGATGGTGCTGGAGAGGAAGAAGGTGAGGAGCGAGGAGCCTTTTCCCTATGGCTGCTCCTCAGGAGGAGGCTGATGGCCCTGTGTGTCCCCCGCAGGCGGAGCTGCGTGCCCTGGAGGAGGGCGATGGCAGCGTGTCCGGCTCTAGCCCGTTGTCCGACGGGAGCCAGTCGGCCCCGCAGGATCCGGCCCGCAGGTTGGCTTCCAAACGGGGCAAGTGGAAACTCTTTGTGGGAGCTGCCAGCCCCGAGTCTGCCAGTCGAGGCTCCAGCAAAACAGGCCGGGAAAGCCCGGAACAGGGAGAAGCAGGTAATGGGAAAGGCTCCCTTGGGAGCAGGGCGGGGGGTGGATGGGCTGCAGCTCTTCTCCCAAAGGGGTGCCCGGATGGGCACTGCCAGGTTCTGCCCTTCATCCCGTTAAGGAGCATGGGTGGAGAGTGCCCGAATCCAGTGCTCCTGTCAGGAAAGAGTGCCTGTGCCCAGAGCTTTGTCACAGAGGCAGAACCTCGCTGTGAGGAAGACCCAGTTCGCTTGAGGCTGCTGGATCCTGGGGGGGTGTCAGCTCTTCCGCTCGAGCAACAACACCTCCCCCCCCCCCATGCTCCTGGTGGTGTTCTGCTGTCCCTGCTCCTTTAGACTCATGACACCCATGTGCGGAGCAGTGCAGTGGGAGCATCATACAAACATTCCCTTAGGGAAAGGAAACCACTGCGTGGCAGTTGTAGTGTTCCGCTGCACCCTGCCCTTTGCTGCCTGTACCTCGCTGCCTGTACCAACCCTCCTGCTCCCCCTGCCCAGATGCACTGCAGGGCACAGCCTGTGCCTGGCAGTCCCCGGGGCCCTGGATGTGCTGGTCCCTTCCCAGCACGGGGCTTTGGTCCAGCTCCCTGCCCCGTGGCACAGCTGGAGGGGAACAGCTCCAGTGTCCAGGAAAAGCTGCTCCACCAGTGCCCTGAGCTGAAGAGGGAGATGGAGCCTGCCCCAGAATGGGACTGGTGTGGCCCTAAGGAGCACCTGCTTCAGGCACAGGATCCTTCAGATCGAGGATGAGGCCTGGCGCGGGGTCAGCTCCGAGGGGTGTTTTCATTGGATGGCATTCCCTGTGCCTCGTGCAGCACATCCCTGGAGCTGGTTTCCCACTCAACAGGGGAACAGGGAGCTGTTACTCCAAAATAAGGCATTTATAGCTGAGCACCCTGCTGCTGGGGGGGATTAAGGGACCTCTCTGCTCTTTGAGCACCAGGACACACTGGGAATGGGTGGAGGGGGGTGTTAGCCATAAGGACTTAAGGAATCCCTCACAAACTTCCCTGCTGGAATGTGGCACTTGAGCAGTGCATTGGTCCCAGCTGTCCTGCTGTGCTATAGAGGCAGAACCTTGCTTTGAGCCAACTTTTGGGGAGCTCTGATGCTTATAAACTTACCTCATACCTGATAATTCCTCCTGATGGAAGCACTGTGGCCACCTGGTGAGCAGCTCCCTTCATGCTTCCTTGAACTCCGGGCTCCTCCTCTGCCTGGGAGGAGCACCCCACACACCAAACCCCAGAGGCAACGACCCCTCTGTCCCTTTTAACTCCAGGCTCTTGTCACTGGCTCCTGTAGGAAAGGAGGCTCCATCCCTGCCCTCTCCAGCCAGCCGTGTGCTGGTGAGAGAACCAACCTCTCCTTTCTTCTCCTGCAGCAGCCAGCATGGAAACAACCGATGCCATTCCAGACAAAGAACCAGAGGCTGAGGAGCCCCAAGAGAAAGCCAAAAGCCAGGGGCCACCCAAAGTGGAAGAGGAGGAGCAGGACCTCAAGGTATGGAGACGGGGAGGTGCGTGTCGGTGAGATCCGAGGCAGCAGCAGCAGCATGGAGGGTAGCTTTGGCTACCTCTGCCCAGGGGAGGCCAGCAGCCACGGGGACGCTTGAGCTTTGGGTGGTGCCTCTGTGCCATGTGCCAGTGGGGATGGCATCTGTATCCCTGTGGAAGCTCTAAACCTCCGATCCCAGGGTTAGATCCTGCTCTGAGAGCAGCCGTGCAGCACTGGGCTGGCATCCCCGATGCTGATACCCCTGCCAGGAGCCAGCAGCGAAGGCTTGGAAAACCCATTCCATGGACTCCAAGGGGGGGGAGTGTGGGGGGTTCAGAGCCTGAGCCCTGGGACTTGTGACAGAGGGGGCCGTGTTTGTCTTGACTCTCTTTTCACCAATAACCATGTTACAGTCCGGTGGCACGTCCCGTTCCCAGGCGGAAGACTCCTCGTCCGTAATCTCTCTGTTTCTGGAGCCTGCTGGTACCTGTTGCTCTTCCCTTCCTCCCAGGGTCACTTGTGGAAGCTGTTGTTAGCTCCAGACCGGGGGTTTCTGCAGCATCTGCTGCTGGTTTGCACTCCCCAGCCTTGGTTTGCTCTTTGTGGCTGTGGCGGGGACACACGGAGCCGTCAGGGAGACCTTTGGCCTTGGAATTCCCTGCTCGCTCATTACCTGTGCTGTGCAGTTTGGCTCCTAAGCATCCTTCTGGTAGCAAATGTTGGCACCAATGTGTGCTGGGTGGTTTCTTGATGGGAAGTCAAAAGCCAGCCTCCTCCCTGCCCTCCGTTCCTGCCACTTCGTTATTTTTCCAGTGGGGAAGGAAAGGATTTCCTGGCAGATGCATAGAACCATGGAATGGTTCGGGCTGGAAGGGAGCTTAAAGCTCATCCAGCTCCGACCCCTGCCACGGGCAGGGACCCCTTCCACTGGAGCAGCTTGCTCCAAGCCCCTGTGTCCAACCTGGCCTTGAACACTGCCAGGGATGGGGCAGCCACAGCTTCTCTGGGCACCCTGTGCCAGCGCCTCAGCACCCTCCCAGGGAAGAGCTTCTGCCTAAGAGCTCAGCTCAGTCTCCCCTCGGGCAGGTTCAAGCCATTCCCCTTGGCCTGTCCCTACAGGCTCTTGGCCAGAGCCCCTCTCCAGGTTCCCTGCAGCCCCTTTAAGCACTGGGAGCTGCATCTCGCCTATGAAATAAGGAGAGCTGAGATGGGATGCCCCTGCCCCAGCACAGCAGCATCCTCATGAGGCTTGAGGAGGTTTTTAACTGAATTTTCAGTAAAATAAGGTAAAACAGTCCCCAGCAGAACCAGGCTCGCTGGCCCTGGAGCCTTTCAAGCCATCCCCGGCGCTGTGGGATGGGCAGTGCAGTGTGGCACTTCCCCACGCGGGATCCCTTTGGAGGCGGTGGAGGGATGCCGTCTCCTCGGGTAATCCATTGCCTTCATCACTTTGGGGTCATCTCTCTTTGGCCAGCTCTGGTTTGCAGGGATCCACCGGGGCCTCCTCTGCCCGCTCACCCTCAGCACTGGGATATTCCCTGGCTTCTCCATAGCTAACGTGGGAATGAATTCATTTCCCTGCCTCGGGCATCTGCTAAAGAGTGAAGGGAAAACAACCTTTTCAGAGCATTCCCGTTGGGGTACCCCTTCCTTGTGTCCCCATTCCTGGCTTACAGCCGCTGCCATGCCTCCCCTCAGCTGGGGGATGGACGTGGGGATCCCCCTGTCCCTGGGCAGTGCCCACACTGGATTTGGCTCCCGCTGGGTGCTGCGGTTGAGTGATGGTTGTCACTGTGGGACTGAGTCTCTAACGGAGATCCTGTCTCTGCTCACGAGGGAATCCTGAAACCATACCCCAGCCCTTTGGGCTTTCCTTTGGGAAGCAGTTGGATCAGACGGAGCGCTTCCTGGTGTAACTCCAGAGCCTACTCCCTTCCTTTGGGACGAGCTCCTGCATGGAGAAGCCAGGATTCCCTGGCACCTCCCTCCCTCAGCTACAGCGGGGCGCAGGAGGGAGCGGGGCTGACAGGGAGCCACATCCCAAACCCCGTTTGCCGGGATGGCCTGGAGCGAGCCGCGGGGGCCGCAGGCGCCCGGCGCCGCTGTGGGAGGGCGGCTCTTGACTCTGTCCCCTTTGTCCCCGGCAGTTTCAGATCGGAGAGCTGGCAAACACCCTGACTAACAAACTGGAGTTCCTGGGCATCCACAGGCAGTCTATCTCCAACTTCCACATGCTGCTGTTGCAGACAGAGGTAACCAAGCCTTGCCCCGCTCCCCTTGCTCCCTCTGGCCTTGTGTTCCGAAGCGGATCACATCCTGCCCGGTGATCCTGGGGGCCGTGTGCCCCCCTTCCTTCTTTCCCCTTCCCTCCATGTATGGGGGGGGGGGGGGAAGAGCATGGCTTTGCACGGAGGCACTGGCTTCCTCCTGCCCCCCTCCCCCATGCAAGGGAGTCTCCCCAATCTCATGTCCCTGGGGTGGGGTTGGGGGTCTGTTTGTGGCCTCCCTCCAACAGCTTTCCCCCCACGTCCCCCCCTTGGTTCTTGCCCTGCAGACCCGCATTGCAGACTGGCGCGAAGGTGCTCTCAATGGAAACTACCTCAAACGCAAACTCCAAGACGCAGGCGAACAGCTCAAACAATACGAAATAAACGCCACCCCTAAAGGCTGGTCCTGCCACTGGGACAGGTACGAGCTCTCCTCCCTTTCTCACCTTTCATCTCTGACATCTCAGACATGAGTTGTGACCATCAGCACGCGACGACGTGGGCGCCGGTCCCCTCTCGGACACTTGAGAGCAAGCGGCTGTGTTAGCAATGCTGGGCAGGCAGAGAGCAGCATCTCCCGGCGCTCGCAGCACCGCCGTGGGGTTTGAGGCAAGCACCCCGCAGCCGGAGGATCCCAGAGACGGAGCTGATTTCCCCCCTTGATCGGACAGAGCTCGTGGTCACTCCCGAGTGGAAGGCGCTGTTGGAGGGCGGGCCTGGGGGGTCGCGCATGCGAGAGCTCTGTGAACTTTGCAGGATGGCTGGATCACCTCTTCTGACCAACAGCTCTACCCAAGGACAAACCCCAGCTCCCCGCCGGAACGAAGAACAAGAGTTGTGTCTGCTGCCAGCAGGTCAGACCCAAACATTTCTTTGTCCTTTCCTTTTGATGGTTTTTCTGGATGGAATTGCTTTTCCTTTGTTTTGAAATCTTTGCTCTTTTGTTTTTCAGCTCCCAGATCCGCTCCCTCTCTCTAGCATTCACTGTGTTGGTTTTGACACCCTATAAAGCCGCCTCCTCCGCGCACCACGGGGGTAGGGGGGGGGGCAGCCTCTCCTCTCCATCGGGGCTGTTCCCCCCCTCCCGGTGCCTCTTCTCGGAGGGCGACTTCCAGCCCGAGGGGGCAGCGCTTGCAAGCCCCCCCTCCCCGGGGGGGGGGGGGCCTGGCGACGTCGCTCTGCTGCTCCTTCCCGAGAAGGGAGGGGGGGGCCGGTTCAGGGGCGACCTGCAGGCAGCCAGCAAACTAGCTCTTGAGCCAAAAGCACCTCCGGGCTCTCTCCGGTCCTCTCAAACGTTGTTGTGGGAACGGTGGCAGCCCTGCTGCCAAGCCAAAGGGGCTCTGAAGCCCTGCGAGAGGGAGGCAGGCCCGCCTCGGAGTGTCGGTGGCGGGGAAGGGAAGCTAAAAGCTGCCTTCTGTTTCTTGTGCTTTAGGGAGCATAGACGCTATTTCTATGTTAACGAGCGCTCAGGAGAGTCCCAGTGGGAGTTCCCCGACGGGGAGGACGAAGAGGAAGGCCAGCGGACAGCCGACGGGAAGGCCAGCGCCAGTCCTCCTAAACCACCCCCAAAGGACAAGGGAGAGCACGCCGAGGATGCTGCCGAGCGCCCCGCAGGTACGGCCCGGGCTGAGGGGGGGATCCTTGTGGGTTGGGGGGGGGTCTGAGCCCCAGGGTGGGCGTCGTGAGGCCGCACCGAGCGCTCAGGTGGTAGGGATCCCTCCTTGTGGCCTCGTGGTGCCTTCAGTGAAGCATCCACGTTGTCCCGTTGGATTTAGGCGTCGTTGCAGCGGTGCCGGGGAAGGCGACGTCGAGCCCATGGCCTGAGCTCTGCCTGCAGGGCCCTGGCAGGGAGGCAGCAGCAGGCGGCCCCGTCCGTCGCGTGGGTTTTCAAGCCTGTGTCGATGTGTATTCTTCAGGCTCCCTTTGTAAAGAACCCTTCTCAGGCCAAGTTCCTGCTCCGTCTCTCATGCCGCTCACCCCATTTTGGACTCTGCTTCAGTCTTCCGTCCCGGTCCTCCAGCCTCCTTTGCCTTTGGAAATGCCTCCCCCGCCTCCGCCGCCACCGGATTCGCCTCCGCCGCCCCCTCCGCCGCCGCCACCGCCGGGAGAAGATGGAGAGATCCAGGAAGTGGAGATGGAAGATGAGGGGGGCGAGGAGCCGCCTGCCCCGGGCACAGAGGAAGACGCTCCCCTGAAGCCTCTCCCGCGCCCGGCTGCCACCGGCAGCACCCAGGTGAGAGCTCCCACCCCGCGCCACGGAGAGGGTGCTGGTGCGTGGCCTCGGGGCTCTGCCCCTCACCTCCTGCTCCCCTCCAGGCTGCCGCCGAAGCCAGCCCAGTGCCGCTGCTCTCGGTGAAGCCGCCGAAGAGGAAAGCCGTGGAGATGGCCCCAGCGCTGCTGCAGCGCACGGCCACCATCGGCAGCTGCCCCGTGCTCTACAGCCAGCCCCTGCTGCCCACCGCCAAGTACCAGCCCTCACCGGTGCCCTTGGCCTCGCTCCGGCCCCGCCAGCGCCTGCAGGGCGAGCTCCAGGCTCGCCCCAACCTCCGCATGGGGCCGGGCCCCCAGCCCACCCCAATGGGGCTGCAGCCGGGCTACATGAGCGTCACCGCGCCCGCCGCACCGGCCCTCATGAGCTACTCGGAGTGCGCCACCTCCGTCAGCCTGGCCGCGGCTGCCGTGCAGCCAGCACCGGTGCGAGGGGCCCTGCCCGCTGCCAACACCAGCACCGGCACCACGGAGCAGCCACCGCCACCGCCGCCCCCACAGACACCCCCCCCTCCCGTCCCCAAGGCCCCACCGCCGCCGCCGGACAAGGAGAAGCCGAGGAAGGGGCGGAAGGAGAAGGTGAGCGCATGCGGCGGTGCCGCGGCGATGCCTCTACCCCCCCCCTTTCCCAGCCAGCCTCCCACCGCGGCTCATGGCGTGTCTGGCACAGGGCAAGAAGGGCAAGACAAAGATGCCGTCGCTGGTGAAGAAGTGGCAGAGCATCCAGCGGGAGCTGGACGAGGAGGACAATTCCAGCTCCAGCGAGGAGGACCGGGAGACCACGGCCCAGCGGCGCATCGAGGAGTGGAAGCAGCAGCAGCTCATGAGGTACGTGCTGCCTTCGCTTGACGGATGCTTCCTCGCCCCCCGCCACCGGCATCCCCATCTCCGCTCCCCATAGAGGCAGTGGGGGTGCTGACACCCCTCTTGGTTGGTCCCGCAGCGGCATGGCAGAGAGAAACGCCAACTTCGAGGCGCTGCCCGAGGACTGGCGAGCGCGGCTCAAGCGGAGGAAAACGGCGTCGAGCACGTGAGGGCCCCGGAGCCGTTGGCATTCCCGACCCTTTTCCTTCCTTTTTTTTTTACACATGTACAGTTCCAAACCCTTCCCGTGCCCATTGCCCAATAAACTGTAGGAGTTTGGGACGCGCTGTGCGGTGGAAGGGGGGTGGTTTGGAGCTGGTGTTGCTCCGGGTGATGCCGTTGGGGCCCCGGTGTTGCCCAGGAACACTGAATCCCTCTGGCTCCTGTCCCAGCGGCACCGGAGCTCTTGCCGTGCTGCAGACCAAGGAGGGGGAACCAAGGGGGTTTGGGGGGGGGGGCTGCTCCCCGATCCCTACGACAGCTTCATGCATCACCACTTGAGCTACTATGGTTACTTCCAAGGTAGGAAGATGGGGCTGTGGCTGCCCCGTTGTCCCCTCGTGCCCCCCAAGTGTGGGGCCGTAGCGTTGCTCTCCCCAAGGCCACAAGATGAGTGCACACAAGAGCCCCATGTCCTCGGGGGACCCCATGGAGCAGCGTCCCACTGAGGCACTCAGCATGAGCAGCACCAATCCTGGCCACTGGCAGGGTCCTGGGCCAGAGCCGAGCTGTGAGTGGGGGAACCCCGCCTCCTGCACTGGGGCTGCCCCTGATTTGGGGTGTTGGGGGTGTCCCCACCCCAACGTGCCACTGGGCCCCCCCAGCTCCTCCTGCAGCCCCCCGGGGCCCACTGAGCCCCTCCCTGCAGCACCGGGGGGCCCTCGGGGAACCACGGGGTCCCTTTGCTGGGCCCCCATCGGGGGGGCTCCTGCCCCCTCCCCGCTGGCCTGTGGAGTGCGAGGTCATCCCGGAGAGCATCGAGCACATCGGTGAGGGGCAGCTCCTGCTCTGTCCCCCCCATAACACCAGACCCTGCTGTGCCCATGGTCCCCATCACCATCCTGTGCCCCCCACCTCAGAGTGGGTCCCCCCTGAACCGGAGCTCTTCTGCCAGCCCACGAGCATGGAGCAGGCCCCGGCCACCCTCAGCGAGGAGCAGGGCACCGTCATCTATAACTGCAGCCCAGGTAGTGGGAGCAGGCAGCACCCATGGGTGCCCCCTCTGCCTCCCCAAACACCCATCGCTGGGCCTCTCTGCAGTGCCCCACGGCGCCGGCTTCACCCACGCCTGCGTTGGGGGGGCCCCGGGCCCCCTGTCCGCGGCAGCAGCACCCTTGGAGGGGCCCCAGGACACGATGCTGCTCTTTGAGTCCTGCTTTGAGAGCAGCAACCTGCAGAGAGCCATCAAGTTGTAAGGGGCTGGGGTGGGGAGGCCCTGGCGGTGCTGGCAGCCGGCGCATGGCCCATTCCCACCGCACAGGGGTCCCTATGAGTATGTGCTGCGGCTGCGGCCGGACCTGTTCACCACCAGGCACACCCTATGGTTCTACTTCCGCTTCCAAAACACCCGCCGGGAGCCCCTGTACCGCTTCACCATCGCCAACCTCGCCAAGGCCAAGAGCCTCTATGGTGAGGGCATGAGGCCGCTGCTCTACTCCCAGTGGGATGCCCAGAGCCGCGGCATCGGCTGGCGCCGCGTTGGCACCGACATCCGGTACTACCACGGTGCTGGTGACGGTGACCGGGAGCCGGCTGCGTTCCACCTCTCCTGGGCCTTGCGCTTCCCCCACGATGGGGGTACCTGCTGCTTCGCCCGCTCCTACCCCTACACCTGCACGGACCTGCAGCGCTACCTGCGGGCCCTGATGGGTGACCTGGTGCGGGCACTGTGCCACAGCCTGGCCGGCAACACTGTGTACATGCTGACCAGCACCAGCGCTGACGGCTCGGCCCCCAAGCGCGCCGTGGTGCTGAGCGCCTGTGCGCACCCCAGGGAGAGCAGCGGCTCCTGGGCCATGTGCGGCTGCCTCAACTTCCTGCCCAGCGCCGACACGCGGCTCCTGTGGCGCCTCTTTGTCTTCACCGTGGTGCCAATGCTCAACCCTGCTGGGGTGGTGGTGGGCAATTCCCGCTGCTCTCTGTCCGGCCGGGATCCCAACAGGGCTTACGGAACATCGGGGCCGGGAGCGTTCCCTGGAGTGTGGCACCTGCGGGCGATGGTTGAGAGGTGAAGGGTGGTACTGGAAGGTGAGGGGACGGTGGTGGAGGTGGTGGTGGTGACATCCTGGCGTGCCCAGGGTGCTGGCAGAGCGGGAGGTGGTGCTGTACTGCGACTTCCACGGGCACAGCCGGAAGAACGACGTCTCCATGTACAGCTGCGATGGCGGCGGGGCTGCGGCTGCACCAGCGCATCTTCCCCTTGATGGTCAGCAAGAACGCCCCGGACAAGGTGGGGGGCAATGGTGTCCTGAGCGGTGAAGGCCACCGCTGTGTCCTTATGGGGCTGGGGTGCTCACCCCGGGTTCGGCCCCAGTTCTCCTTCCCCAGCTGCAAGTTCAAGGTGCAGAAGAGCAAGCTGGGGATGGGCCGGGTCGTGATGCGGCGCTTGGGGGGCTCCAACAGCTACACCCTGGAGGCGGCTTTCGGCGGCTCCATGCTGGGTGAGGGCTCGCGGGTGACGGTGTCGGTGCCTCAGGGCCGGGTGGGCCCCGGGTTGCGGAGCTGCCCCGTGCCCCCTTTGTGTCCCTGCAGGCGGGAGGAGCTCCCGCTTCACCGTGCGGGACCTGACGGCGCTGGGCGCCCACCTCTGCAACTCCCTGCTGGACCTGTGCGACCCTGACCCGGCCAAGGTGGGCTCCAACTGCAGCACCCGCGGTGCTCCCAGGGCCCCCGGCAGCTGGTGTTGGTGCTGGTACTGCTGCCAGTGGTGCTGGTGTTGGTGATGGTGCTGGTGCCAGTGCTGGTACTGCTGTCAGTGGTGCTGGTGTTGGTGATGGTGCTGGTGTTGGTGCTGGTACTGCTGCCAGTGGTGATGGTGATGGTGATGGTGGTGCTGGTGATGGTGCTGGTGCCAGTGCTGGTACTGCTGTCAGTGGTGCTGGTGTTGGTGACGGTGCTGGTGCCGGTGGTGCTGGTGTTGGTGCTGGTACTGCTGCCAGTGGTGATGGTGATGGTGGTGCTGGTGATGGTGCTGGTGCCGGTGCTGGTACTGCTGTCAGTGGTGCTGGTGTTGGTAATGGTGCTGGTGCCGGTGGTGCTGGTGTTGGTGCTGGTACTGCTGCCAGTGGTGCTGGTGTTGGTAATGGTGCTGGTGCCGGTGGTGCTGGTGTTGGTGCTGGTACTGCTGCCAGTGGTGATGGTGTTGGTGCTGCTGCCAGTGGTGCTGGTGCCGGTGCCAGTGTTGGTGCTGGTGGTGCCAGTATTGGTGCTGCTGGTACTTCTGCCAGTGGTGCCAGTACTGGTGTTGCTGGTGCCGGTGTTGGTGCCCGCTGACCGCGCTCCTCCTCCTCCTCCCCGCAGCACCACCGGCTCCTACAGCTCCGTGTGGGACTCGCTCCCGGAGCTCCCTCGGTGCCTCCGGTCGGGCTCAGCCCTCGCCGCTTTGCAGCCGGAGCAGCGCAGGAGGCAGCGGCTGCGGAGCCGCAGGGCCAGGAGCGCCGAGCGCGGCCTCAGCGCTGCCGCCGGGAGCCGGGACCCCGCCACCGCCTCCCGGACCCGCGCCCCTCGCGACCCGGTGCTGCCGCTGCGGCCTCTCCCCTCGCAGCCGCTTCTGCCGGGCCGTGCTCCGAGCGCGGCTCCAGGCCCCGCCCGGTCCCTCCGGGCCGCCTGTGCTCGCCATTAAAGCGGGGCCGGGGCCGGGGCCGGGACTGCGTCTGCCGCCGCCGCCTCCTTCCGCGGGCACCGGGCCCCCCCGCCATGGCCGCCCCGCAGGCCCCGTTACCATGGCGGCCCCTCCAGGCCCGTTGCCACGGCGACGCCTCAGGCCGCAGCCCCCGTTGCCACGGCGACGCCTCAAGGCCTGTACCCCCTTTTAGGCCCCGTTACCCCGGTGACACCCCCCCGGTTGCCATGGCGACACCTCAAGGCCTGTACCCCACCTTTAGGCCCGGTGACACCCGCCCCCCGTTGCCATGGCGACGCCTCAAAGCCTGTACCCCACTTTTAGGCCCCGTTACCCCTGTGACACCCGCCCCCGTTGCCCTAGCGACGCCTCAAGGCCTGTACCCCACCTTTAGGCCCGGTGACACCCGTCCCCCCGTTGCCATGGCGACACCTCAAGACCCCCCCCTTAGGCCCTCCCCGTCCCGCCCGGAAGCGGTGCTGGGGCGCGCCGGAAGTACCGGGGCGGGGACGGACGACGACAACGGGGACGGAAGCGGAAGCGGCGGCCGTGTCCTTCTGCGCCGTGACGCCGGCGGCACCATGGCGGACGCGGCCTCGCAGGTGCTGCTGGGCTCGGGGCTCACGGTGCTCTCGCAGCCGCTCATGTACGTGAAGGTGCTGGTGCAGGTAAGGGGGGGGCCGGGAACCGGGAACGGAAAGGGGGGGGGGGGGGGGGTCTCGGGTCCCGGTTCCCGGTGCCGGCTGCAGGCTCCCGCTGCAGGTCGGGTACGAGCCGCTGCCGCCCACGCTGGGGAGGAACATCTTCGGCCGCCAGGTCTACCAGCTCCCGGGGCTCTTCTCCTATGGTGAGCGGGGCTAACGGAGGGCAAGGGGGGGGGTCCCGGTGGTGGTGGGGGGGGGTTCTGACTCCTCCGCCTCCCGTAGCCAAGCACATCGTGAAGGTCGATGGCCGAGCGGGGCTCTTCAAAGGCCTCGTCCCGCGCCTCTGCTCCAGCGCCATCGGCACCGTGGTGCACAGCAAAGTGCTGCAGGTACCGGGGTGGGGGGGAACGGGGGACGGAGACCGGGGCTCGGGGCTGGTGTGGCTCCGGCCCCGGTGCCTGCGCTAACGTTGACCTTTGTTCTGCAGCAGTACCAGGAGGCTGAGGACGCTGGGGTAGGTGCAGGGACGCTGCTCCCTAGGGGATCCTCCTTCCCCTCCATCGTCCCCGTCCCTCCTTCCCCTCCATCGTCCCCGTCCCTCCTTCCCCTCCATCGTCCCCGTCCCTCCTTCCCCTCCATCGTCCCCGTCCCTCCTTCCTCTCCATTCCTCCTCCTTCCCCTCCATCGTCCCCGTCCCTCCTTCCCCTCATCGTTCCCGTCCCTCCT